TGGCAATTACCCTAAGCAATAGAATTCTTTTTGTTCCTTCTTGTTCATCATTGTTCGTCTCGTCAAGCCTGTTGACGAGACCACTTCCTTTTGTAATTTTTTTGATATTCTTCGAGTTAATTGAGCGCCCCAGTTTCCTAAACTCAATCTTTTATAACCGTCTTAACGAGTGCTATCTCAGATCCAACATACATGTATGATTTACGACTTAATTATAAGCTACCAAGTGGAAACAAAAAAATCATCGAAAAAACGATTTCATGTGACTACAACTGTTGCACATATAAACATATTAAAAATAACGTGAACATCTTAAAAATCAAACGTAATTGAAATATAATAGCTACTGTATATAATTAAAAAGGACAAATACTGACGACCTGAGGATACCAATCCTGTATTATTATCGTAGTTTTACGTTGAATAATTATATTGGAACAAAAATTGCTAGTCTTGACTTATTAAAAATACAAGTTGACTTCTTTCTTTGTTAAAGGATCTTACAAGTTGACAAACTACAATCACGGAAAGGTATATATAGTTAAATCTGTTCTGGTTGCAGATATGTTATTCATCTTTGTGTTAATCTGTCTTAATCTGTTCTGGTAACAGGTAAGTTGCTCATTCACTTTCGCTACTCGTTAGAATTAAGTATAGTTTATATCGATATACCTTATTTAAGAAAATATTTGTATTTAATGGTTTATAAATAAGTCAACTCGACTGAACATAATAGCTCCCAACAACACATCTTTCAATTGCCATTCATGCTGATAATAATATACTCCTCTATTTCATAGTTGTTGTTTTAAAATATAGATCTGAAATATATAAGGATATATTTAACTCAAGAACACATTTAGATACATTGCATATACATTTTCTGAAAACGACAACTAATTTAAAATGGAAAGAATATTCATTATGTTCTCTAATACTGTAAGTGGTGTTTTAAGAGACATTTTTGTTAATAAATAAGTGGTTACACATTTCAATGCAAAAACTAGTTATATTTTGACTATTTGAATTCTTCAAACTAAAGTTTTACTGGTTGAATTGTTTTAGATTGATGAACAAACATGTTTTGTTTTGAAAAAAAATAAAAATTACAGTTAATTTAAAATTTAAACATAATATTAACCGTGGAAAAAAATAGAAAATACAATAAACAAAAAAATATTTGTCTATTATAGGAAATTTCTCTTTAAAAATTAAAATATACATTAAAAATATGATATATTTTTAATATTAGCAATTTTTTAATGAATCTCATCCTATAAAGATTGTGGTTGTCTATGTTTTTAGCAGTTCTTCAATTATTGAAGGAAAAACAAAATTCAGCAACTTTTGTCATTTTGCTAATTCAGCTAGTATAACTGGTGTCTCACTGAAATAATTCAGCTCATTTCAACAAATCCGCAAACACCTGTTTGTGAATGTACAAAAAAAATTCAGCAAATTTAGATAATTAAATGTTACAGAGGAGAGAAGGGGGATAGTTTTCTTACACTTGGGTTAACGCTCGTCACATAATACTTCAAAAATATTACAGAAACGTTAATGTACTTGAAATACAAAAACAATCACTAGCAATGCTGGTACAGTAGGAACGCAATTTTACAATAGGCAACTGATAATTTTAAAGTATTAATATGAACAAATTAATATAAAATAATATTAAAATGATACAAAAGAAACAAGAATTAAGGAAACAAAACTGGATTTGCAGAGTCGAGATATGATCTTTTTCCTTAATTCTGTAAACGCTCCGTAGTGTATGGTTGCATGGCGTTCCGAATCCAAGATAAAACTGCATACTTCTTATCATTACATCACTCAATATATAAGCTTGTGAACCATATTTTATGTGATGTACTCTTACAAGAAAAAACAAAACAAAAAGAAGAAATGAGGAGGATTGTTTCTTGTGTGAATGATAATTAACCATCTATTAAAGAAAAAGACATGACTTGTTTATATAGCCCATGCTTCACGTAAAGAGGAGTGATGATGAGAGTCAAACATTCATCATAATGCCACAATTGAATTTGATGTTACAAAATTAATCACCTTTAATTTTGTGATTACACAATTCAATTCAATAAGATATTTTTGTTGACTTAACTAACAACAAAATTCAGTGAAGAATTTCTGATCAAAAGAATAATCTTATGAACTTTGACTCGACTGCCAATTTCTGAGGCCCGAAATATAAATACAGCCCGGTTATCTTCTTTCTCTAATACATCAAAATGTACACAAGTTTTTAAATCTGGTTTTAAATTCTCCACTTTATATACAAGAGGATTTCACCTCAAACTTCCAATATGAGACATTTCATAAATGTTATATTTTATGCTATATAAACAACCCAGTTGGACCTCCATTTTTCATTCAAACATACTTCATTTTGACATAATTCCAACAGGTACTTGGTATGTGTTGCCAACTAAAATCTTGTTCGATTCTCATCCTAATCCATTTATTAATATATATTATTTGTCTGATATTTTGATCAGGTTAAAAAATTCATGGAACCGCCGCCGAGAGATTCCAGAACCACGCACATTACACTAAAGAAAACCACACAAGTGCCTTCATTTTTTGTTGCATGATACGTTGTTTAATGTCTATTAAAGCATTTGGTGTTCTATTCTTTTAGCTCATATAACTTCAAAAGTGCAGTATCTGTAAAAATGCATTTGTCCAACAGTTGATCCTATGAAGGCTCCGTTCAAACCCAATCGTTCCTTGATTATTACAAGTTATGATGTGAAGTTGTGGAGGGTAATTTGTGTTTCAGGTTTTTAACAATATACGCAGATAACCAAACTTTTTTTTTTTTTTTGTCTTTGTTTATTGTTAAAAGCCTAAAAAACTTCCACTATACATTAGAAACTCTATAAATTAATACCCGATAAATTAATAAATTTCTCCGATCCCGAGTTGGGCTGGTATAAAATATGACACAATTCCATAGAATAATAAGATAATAGGTTTTTTTAAACTTTTATGTAAAATGTGGTCCCAATAATATCATAAATTAATAATTATCGTATAAAAACTTATTTATATGTATACATAAGATGTTTTTTTTAAATACTAAACAATTTTAGCGAAATTTATTAAAATAAATTAAATAAATAAATCAAATAACAATATCATCCATCGGAAGCAAAAAAAAAAATTAAATCTAGCAACCTAAACACTAGGTGCTAACAATTCAAACAATGCAAATAATAAACTCCTATCATCCACTCTTCAGCCTTGATTCCGCGATCACAAAAACATTTAACCTGCAACATATTGCGATAGAGTTGCGTAAGAAATACTTAGTGAGACAATCACCCTGCATACGGGCCAATTACGGAATTACTAGCAATTAAATAATATTACTAATTCTCAACAGTTATTAAACTCTATTTCTCAATTATTAAATAATTCTCCATAATTAAATAATATTTTTTTCATAATTAAAATAATTAATATATTATTTTAACCATTTTAATTAATTAAAATACTCATTAATTAATTATATACGAATTAAATCAACAAAATTCGATTAAACCATTTTCAGTTCAATTAAACCAATTTAATTCGCCTGAACCAAATTAAACCGGACAGTGTCGAGCGATACCAGCTTGGTATCGGTCGACACCACCCTCCTGTCGACACTGAGATTCATCACACAGAGAACGATTTGTGAACAGTACCCAGAACACAATAAACAAGCAATTAACCACAAACAATCGAATCAAACATCAACACCATCACAAAAAACTCACATAAACCACATGAACAACTCAAGAACAACCTCAATCAATTCTCAATCTAGTGAATCACAGATCCACAGTCATGCACTCACCTCAAATTGACTGGAAACAGTGAAAGGAGATGGAATCGACGAAGAACAGCAACTAACAGCTACAAATCGACCACCAATTCGACCAAGAACACCACAATCGATCTCCGGTCGCCTCTTCCTCTTCTCCACGGCACAAAACAACAAAAACAGAAGGAAACCCGAGTGGCTGCTCTTTTATTTCGTGACGTAGGGCTTTCCCTGCCCAGAACCAGCCTAAACCGACTTAATTCGAACCGAAATTCAGTTTTAACCATTGGTGTCGACCGACACCACCCCTTGTGTCGCTCGACACCAAAGAAAAATCGAATTTCTTTGGTTTGCAGATGTTATATAAGATATCAATTTATTAAAATATAAATCTTTCACATACTAAACAAATATGAAAATTAAAAGAGAAAAGGAATTTGAAACAATATGGCAAATATGAGAAAATGTAAACAATAAAGTAAATATAAAAATATCAAAAAAATTTTAAGAAAATATACGTATAAAGGAAAGTTCGTATTTAATTTGAAGGAAAAGGTTAAAGATTATTAATATTGAATTTCTTTTTTTTTTTTAAATATTAATCAAAATTTATATATTAATAACTTTATAAATTAATAAAATATCAAAATCCCCATATTTTTAATTTATAGAGTTTCTACTGTGTATAAACGTGTATAAACAGTTGTAGATCATCATGATAATCAATCTTTCTATTTAAACTATATAATTATAATAGACACAAAAGTAGAATTATCATTTCTCAATCTTTTCGTTACTGAGAAACTAGAATTATGAGGGCAGCCTCATGCTTTGGTTTACTACAAGAGTTTAATTAGTTTTCCATGTCAAAAAACATTGAAACACTTGATGTACAAAGGTTTTTATTTGAATATAATTTTACATTCATTCAAAAAAAAATAGCTAGAATTATGGACTTATCTTTTTCAATTCCTAGGAAATGTTATAATTTAAAATAAAATATAGAGATGGATAAGATAACATTTCTCAAAAAAAAAAAATCGAATTATACCGAAAAATGATAGTTTAAACTTGAACAACTTAGGCTAAATTGAAACCAACCATTATTATAATGAAAACATAAATTTGAAAAGAAAAGAAAAAAGAAAATGCAAATGGAGAAAAACATCTACAGCTTAGAACAATCCGCTGGTTTAAATGACACCTTTTTAGAAACAGTGTCGTATCCAACAAGAAAGTTCATCTGTGACCTGTTCCCGAAAATAGCTACACCATTCCTCCCAATGAAAGCAAGACAAACCAAATCTTGCGAGACTCGTACAAAAGAATTGAAAACGTCTAGCTTCACATCTGCTCCCTCAAAATGAAAAGTAATGGTTGGAGGTTTTACACTCGCACGTATGTTGTAACACAAACTCAAACCGCTCGCTGGATCTTTTTTGCTCTCGGCATTGATTGAAGACGCAACCGCAGCTTCGAGCTGGGAATAAAATGCGGTGGGTAACGTTGTAAAAGTTGTTCCTGAGTCGATGAAGATGTTTCCCTTGCCGCTTCCAGAAACCGAGCTTGAGAATTTGAGATTCTTGCTTCCCACGCTAACGGATTCTAGGGTTAGGTAATAGAAAGGCTCTCCTGCTTTTGTGATCAAAGGAGTTGAGACAGCTCCCGTTCCCGACACAACAGCATTGGTTCCGAAGTTGAGCTTGCTCGTTGGATTGCTTGTTAAAGTTGGAAAGACCAAACAGTATGAGAACTTACCTTGGATCGACTCGCTGAGTTGCGACATGAGCGAAACTGAACCAGCACCAAGTCCGGCGATTCCAGAGCCCTTCTTTTGAAATGTCCCAATGTCGTTTTGACCACATCCGAAGATAATATTATTGAACTGCACGGGACGGTTATTAGTCGAGCCAAACGTTAAGGTTTCGACAGCGATATTACCCTTGGTGTATGAGTTATCCATGTAATGGAAAGCGTAAGTGCAAGTGCTGTCTTCTCTGGAACAAGTGTTGTCATCTTTATTAATAGAATGACATTGGCTTGAGGAGCAAGAAACACCTTTGTATGTAGAAGACGAATTAGGGTCAAAGAGAGGATCATCTTGAGTGTAACAGGTGTTACATGGTTTGCACTGTGTCCAGAGGAGATCGCTTCCCGTGTCGGCGATCACCATGACTGGAACCGGAGGAGTTCCAATGGATACATTCATGAAATATTCACCTCCATACAAGGTTATCTCACTTTGTGGTGAGCTCATTGATGCATCTTGGCCCGAGAAACGTAAAACGCGGTTTATGGATCGGTTTATAGCGTTTCTTAGACGCTGGGACGAGGTTTCCGACGGGTTGTAGAATGGAGATTCAGGCGAATCGCGGTGGATCAGATCCATGGTGAACACTAGTTTTGCGTTTGTGTTTGCATTTGAGAGAAAGGGTGAAGAAAGTAAACAAAAAAACAAGAAAACTGAAGATGATAGAGAAGAGACCATTGTCTTTGTATCTAAGTGAATAGTGAGTTTTTTACTCTGACAATTTTGATGTGTATTTATAATGTCAATGGGATAGTGTCATAGTGAGTGGTAGATAAATGGTTATACATGTTGAGACTTTCATGTTTTGAGTAAGTAATCTACACAAAGATTTTCATTCTGTGTTTAGAGAATCTCAAGATATATACTAAACTGTCAAAGGGAAAAAGGTTGTCATCTTATGCATGCATTTCATTATTTTTTCCTTTCGTAAAAAGTGTATACCATTCATATGTTTTCTTTAAATGCTAATTCCTCCATTTTTTTATGATAAATTTTCTAGAGTTTTCACACATATTAATGAAAAACTGATTTTCAATCATTAGTGCATAGATTTTTGCAATAAAACAATTTTTTTATAATTCTCAACCAATAAAAGTCCAACAAATACAATTAATGTTTCTTGAGAACTGAAAAGGTGCATCAAAAAGCTAGAAATTTTATCTTTGTGAAATAATAAATAATGTCTAGAAAATTCATGGTGGGAGTAACATATAGTTTCATGACAGAGAGACAAACGCCAGCTTTACGCTGGGAAATTACTTTCCACATTCGGGAAGAAGACGCGCACGGAGACATCTCCGGCGAAGAAACACCAGATTATACTGGGAACAATCTCGAGACTTTAGCGCTCGGAAGAAGCGACAAGAGATATTATCTATCTCTGCCGAAATGGTACCAATATGGGACTCGAACCCTGGTGGGAGAAAGTTACTCGTGAGAGACTCGACCACCTTTGACGGGTTCGAATTGGTGCTAAGATCTCTATTTAATATTCTGTTATAACCTAGTTGAAATCGAACTTCAACCGAAATTTCCTCGGTTTATAATGGTTTGCTTATTAATTCGTCAGAACCAGGAAAAATCCGGCGCAAACCGATTGATTTATCGAACTTATTTCCGGTTCGATATCTTATCTCCTCTGGAAGTTGAGTGAGAGAAGCAGACGAAGAAAGCAGCCATGGCCGTGGCTTTTTGCTTCTTCTTAAGCTTTTTCCTCAATTTTGTATACTTTAGCTCCATTCAGTCGTTCAACTTTCCTGTTAGCTTGCTCCGGTTCTAATCCTGTCGATTGGAGAAGAAGAATCGTCGACTCTGCTTGGTTCCAATCGAGAGAGATATCATGTGGAATCTGCGGTGGCGTTAGAACAATTAAAAGAAAAAGAAGATGAGCTCCAACTAGAAGAAGACAGAAATGTCAATCTCTTCTAAGTTTTGCCTTGAAAAGCTTTTTTTTTTTTTTTTTTTTTTTGTAAAACATAAACATCTTAGAATCCGACTTTTGCATTACGCAGAAAACTTCACCGTCTCTTGTTTTCATCAAAGACATTGAGCTTCCCAAAACGTCCTCTGATGAATTCACACACTCAGATATGAGGAAAACGCAAAGGTCCAAGGAACAAGATCAGGCTTCGTTTGGGATAAGCTTGGTCACAATGTAAGCAAAAAATAATCTTGACAATAGTATTGGATTTAATTGAGTTTGGTCCTATGATGATAGTATTGTATGTTGCATCAAAGGGTGCTTGTAAGAGTTGTGACGGTTCGCTTAGGTTGTGTAGAGACACAATTAGAAAGACACAACTCTTATGTTCTTGTCATAGAACGAACTATTTAACACGTTGTGACAATCATGGAACCAATCAAGTTTCAGAGTAATAATATCAATTTTCCTCGTTAATGATCTTCTTAAAAAGAGAAGAGATAATCATTAATCTCTTGCTCTGTTTTTTTCATTCTTTCTCTTCTCTCTTTCTAAAATAAATTCAACAAATAGGGGTAAGAGTTGAGAAAGATCCTGAGCTTTTGTTGTATGCATACATACCCTGATGTTTGAACATGTGATCTGAAAACGAGATTTGTAAATTTGTAGGTAGTGAGTGGGGTTGGGACTTGGGAAGAGCGATACCTTCACCTAATGGGAAAAGTATTCGTGAAGCTATACAAACAGATGCTGATATTAACTCTGCTAAATTCTCAAAAACATCTCTCAGGTTTTTTCATCACAGTTTGTAGTTTTTTTCTGTTTTTTCTTTTGGGTTGTTGTAATAATATAGGAAACTCTGGAGGGGCCACTGCTTGATTCTTATGGACATACCATAGGCGTAAACACTGCCACATTCACACGCAAAGGTTGAGTCTTTTACCAAATCTAACAAGACAAAACATAACTCTGTTACTGTATTTGCTTCTCTGTTTTACAAAGACTTGAATACGATGATGTTTGTGTTGCAGGGAGCGGTATGTCTTCCGGTGTGAACTTTGCCATTCCCATTTGACACAGTTGTTCGAACAGTACCGTACCTCATTGTGTATGGAATGGCTCTTTCAAAGTTTATCATCAACAACAATAGAAAAAAAAGTACATAATATCATACATTCTTCGTTTATATCATACATACAACTACAAGAAGATGGAATCAAGTTTAGGTTTTTGGCGATAATAAATAGACCAAACATTGATGAAAAATCTGGAGAGGCTCTCTACTCTTTCAACTGAATCAAAGAAAGCTGTTCCTCGATAGAGCAATCGACATGACAAGACGTTCTGCAAGAGGAAGGGATTAGGATCATACCGAGACAACGCTGCTCGGTAGGCGAAGGAGACGATCTTCTTATGCTACGATACTCCACAGTGTCTTGGAGGATTATGTTTCCTTGTTCGTCAATGCAATGGAAGTTGCCAAGGAAGAATCTCCCGTCTTTGATTCCCACCAGCATCTGGCGGAACAAGAGCTTCCTCACTCGTGCTATCGGATCCAGATCCGACACTTGAGAGGTCGATGCAACAATGGTGGTGCTCGTGCTTCTCTCTGCAGCTTGCTCCATTCTCAATCATACGAAATAAAGTTTATGACGGAATGATTTGTTTGATTCCAGGAATCTAAAAGTTCAAAAAACTTCAATTAATTTTTCAAGGAGAAATCCTAAGATTAAGAACTTCGAATCTAGTGATGCAAACAGGAGATTTTAACATTCAAAATCGAAATCTAGGCTACTCCGAAATCCCCCACAAGTAGAAGAAAACGTTCAGGATAGAGATGGAACCTAAAGCTTTCTGTCTTGGGTTTCGATTCTACGACGGAGAGAGAGAAGCTAAACAAAGCAAAGAGGTTCAGAGAGTTCGCTTAATTGAGGTAGAGGCCAATATTTATGTACAAATTGTAATATGAGGCTTTCTACTTTTAAATCGATTTTTCTCACCCTGTTTGACTTGTTATGTTAATTTTAAGTCCCTGTGGTTAAAATAAGGAGTTGGCTTATAATTGTATTTGACTGAGTGATAGAAATCGGATACGGGAAGAAGCAGTGATCGATCTGAATTTCTGTACAAGATATCGAGATTCAGAGACATGACAGAGGATTTCAAGGATTCTGTTCGGAAACCCGCTGGTTCGATGGGTTATAACGAGGTACGAGTCCCATATTCATCTTAATAAGCTATCTGTCCTGAATTTACGAGGAATTTGATTTGATCAGGGTTTTGGGATTGTTGTTTTGTAGATCATATTCGTTGACATTCATTTGATTCGTTTGCATTATGTGGCGTCTGTTAATTCGATTTCTAATTGATCCCTTTTTTCATTGGACCACTAAAAAAGCTCATATCAATTACAATTTGAAAATAAATCCGTTAGAGAAAAACATTTTTGTTGTCAAGACGGAAGAAAAATAGTTAAAAACAAATTGGAGGATCAAATTATTTCCTCAGTTTCTTGTAAAACATTTTCTCTCCCAAATTTTTCTTCTCTCTGTTTTTTTTTTTTGCTTTCTTGCAATCAATTTTTGACGAATTGGACTATGGAAACGATCGTTCTCACTCTATGATCGGTAAGGTTTTTCGCTTCTCTAGATCGCGAATTTAATTTTAGGATTTGAGGTTATAGTTATCTTGATTTGATTCCGCATGAAAACTGATGCGATATGTTGAACTTATTCCTCTTCCCCTTCGTGATTATGTTTTAGGGTTATAAGTCTCTTCTTAGTTCTCAATTAATTCTTTGTTACGACTGACAGTGATCTCTGCTTCTGGTCTGTCTAACTTTTGCTTCTTGATTATTGGAATAGTCTCAGTATAATAAACTGATTAACCTGTCTTAGCTATATATTTATTCTTGTGTGTTTATCTTACATTATACCCAATTAATGATTGTTTTGCATTATGCTCTAATCACGTGATGATCTTTCTAAAATGATATCCTCGTAACTTTGCATCCATTACAAATGCAATTATTTAAAATGTGTAATTGATCTTTCTTGATTTCCCTTACATGTTTCTTTTTGTTTTAGTAACAGTTTCTTGAATCAAAAATCTAGCTATTTGCAGTATATGTGTACCAATTTTATCATCCTCCTTATAGGCATGTCGAATAGATGCTCTGATTTGCTCTGCTGTTGAGTTCAATATTCTATGTGTCGTAGTTAGACTTACATGTGTTTGACGAAAACCAGTTTTCTGTTACTTGATATTTCTCTGCAATAACATAGTTTCTAGGATAAGTGAAACTTTGCTTATCTTTTGCTCTCACTCTCTCTGCTTTAACATAGTAATAGTAATGAATATAATTTTAGAAATAATTGAAACGTTGGTGTCTAAATCAGTTTTGTTCTCAACCTTCGAACTATTTTTATTTAATGTATGCATGTTTCACTTCCTGCTAATTTTTACGAACCATTTTTATTAATTGTATGCATGTTTCACTTTCTGCTAATTTTTACGTGTACAATTGTGAATATGATCTTGAATACCTCCTCTTCTTGTAGCTACAGTTTCTTGTTCTTCTTTGCCATATATCCAGAAGATAAAAATATAACAGTAAATCATATGTTAATCATTCAATCTCACGTTTTTTAATGCTTCATGCTGCGTATGCATGAAATCCTAATTGTTCATAGATTGTTTGTATGTTTTGACAACTTTTCTATACTTCTTCCGTTCTTCGGTTATCATTGTTATGTATACCCATAATTCAATTGAAAGATTAGCTTTAAAGTAATCAAATCAGATTTGCTTTACACCAGATGATGTACGATGAACAGAAGTCTTCTTCTTCTTTATATTCAGATTTTGATAAAATCTATGAACCAAAAAAGTATCAACCATGAAAGTTGCTGATTGTATTTTGTTTCTTTGATTGTTGGAATAGTCTTGGTGTGATAGATTGATTAATCTTTCTTGGAAATATGTATATATTCTTGTTTATTTATCTTTAATTGTTCATCAATTTCTATGATTGTTTTGCAATATTCTCTAGTGACTTGATGGTCATTCAAAGCTTGGGAAATGACATCCTCGTATACGATGATTATTGCGTTAGGTTATACTCCCTCCGTTTTAAATTAGTTGTCGTTTTGGAAAAATGTATCTGCAATTATTTGGATCTTTTTTCTAGTCATGCAAAACACGTCTAAATATTTGTAAATACATTTTGCCAAAACAACAACTAATTTAAAACGGATGGAGTAAAAAAAGTTGTACTTGCTTACTTAGTTTTTGCAATAACAATGATATATACCCTTATCCTCTTAGTGAGTTAGTGTTATTGAATTATGGTGCATTTATTTAGAATGTTTAATTAATCTTTCTTGATTTCCCTAAAATGCCTGTTTTTGTTTTAATAACTTTAAAATATATATATATATATATATATATATCATAATCAAGCCATTTTGCAGTAGCTGAATTCCATTTTTATCATTTTCATTGACTCATTGTACACGTATTTTATTGTTACTAGTTATCAAGGACAAGGAGAATTGATTACTTTCTGCATGGTTCTGTTTATTGTTCTTCCTAGCTCGTCTATTCTCTGAGCTTGAAACCCTATCTATTTTGCAGCTAATTTTTTTGGCTAAATGTTTTGGTCTACTTACTCAATATTCATTCTAGGTTTAGTGTTTGTCATCTGTAAACAAAACTTATACTACGAACGATTCAATACTTAATCATTGTACATATACTTTGTGAGGTTATAAGAAAAAGATACGTACACTATTTGTTTGTGTTCTGCACATGTACATAAGGATTATTAAAAACACATACATGTCTACTATTATTTCTCAGATTTATTTTGTTTGATCATTATGCCTATACTTTGTGAGGTTATAAGAAAAAGATACGTATAGTATTTGTTTGTGATTTGCACATGTACATACGGATTATTACAAATATATACATGTCTACTATTATTTCTCAGATTTTTTTTTATTCATTGTGCCTATACTTTGTGACGTTATAAGAAAAAGATATGTACATATAAATAATAGTAGACATTATTCTTGTCTACTCTAAGATTATGTACAATGGTTTGAGAATTCAACCCCCTACTTTATGCTCCCCTACTCTAAGACATTATTCTCTCTCTTCCACCTAGTCATTTAACCACACTTTTAAATTTTGAGCACTACAATGGTTTTGTTTAATAAATTCAACACCCTATCCTACTACCTTTTTCTTATTTATATATATATATTATTATATAATTGTTTTCTGATTTCATATTAATATAAATTGTTGTTTAATATTGAATTAAAATATATTAATGTAGTAAATTATTTATATTCTATTAAAACAATTGAAATGACACATAATCATTATCAAAATAAATAAATTAGAAAAAAATATATTTTATAATACATTAACAAACATACAATACAACTTATTAAATACAACTTATTAAATATGCATAATTAATTAGTACAATAGATTGAACTTACAAACAATAATTTTTTTAATTCATCACACACACATAACCTTAAAAATCATTTTAATTGTGGAACATATCAAATTTCGTCCATATGTGTTTGACTAGATCTGCTTGCAATTCATGATGTACATCTGAATCACGTAACTCAGATCTAGAACGCACATAATTTTCAAATGCAGGCAGCACCTGGGTCGAGAATGGTTGTGTTGTACTTGACCCGCTTGCCTCAGACTGATCATAATCGGTAAAGTGTTGAGCACATGTATCTCGCTGAGCATACGTATCTCGCTCATCCTCAACAATCATATTGTGTAATATCGGCTATGTCCCACATGTGAGCTGGTTCACGAATGATCTTAAATCGAGCCTGCAATACTCCAAATGCACGTTCGATGTCCTTCCGACATCCCTCTTGATAATGTGCAAATAGCTTGTCTGGTTCACTTTGAGGAAGCTTAATTGATTTGACAAAAGTAGGATAAGAAGCATAAATACCGTCAGCTAGATAATATGTCATATTATATGGACGCTGGTTTACAGAGAAGTTCACTCTTGGAGCATTTCCTTATTCAACACCATCGAACACTGGTGAACGGTCTAGAACGTTTATATCGTTCAGCGTACCGTACATCCAAAAAAAGCATGCCAAATCCATAGATCCTGAGTTGCAACAGCTTCAAGAATAACAGTGATGGTTCCCTTATCTCCCCGAGTAAATTGACCGTCCCACTCTTTTGGACAATTTTTCCATTCTCAATGCATGCAAACAATACTCCCAATCATCCCTGGGAATCCTTGCTTCTCATTAACATGCAAAATCCGTTGAAGATCATCTTGAGTTGGAGCTCTAAGATACACTCCCTCATACAGTTGTATGATTCTCTTACAGAAGCGACGCAAGCACTCTAAAGTTGTAGTAGTACCATATGCTAACATTCGCATGGCAGTAGTACATTTTGCTAAAGGAGATATACCTTCTTTATTGGCTGCGTCAAATCGTTGGGTAAAGTAGTTGTCAGTGCTTGATAGGTCCCAAACGATTCGAAGAAAAACATGTTTTTGCATCCGGAATCGTCGACGAAACATTGCATCATCGTATGTTGGCTGATTGGCAAAGTAGTTGTCAATCAATCTTTGATTTGCGGTGGCATGATCTCTCTTCACGTATTTTCTCTCGCCTCGAGGTCGATAGTCTGCTTCTATTTTCTTTCGACGCTCCTTAAACCGGTTGAGGACATACCTTTCTTCAATTTCACATTGCTTTTTGTAAGCTTCAACATCAAAAGGATATTGTGATGGATCCATTGATATATTTTAGTAAGATGAGATTTGTGGCACTTGTACATTAATGGAAGAATGAATCCCTATTTATAAGCAAATGGAACAAACATATTGAGTGGCTGAAAAAAAAAAAAGAGGATAAAATTCAAATGGTTTATGATATGATTCTCTCAATAAAAGTCAAAATGGGTCCAAACAAAAAAACATTGTGGACAGTTGATAACATTATTAAAGTATAACGTGACAATACAACATTATTAAAGTACAATATGACAATACAACATTATTAAAGTATAATGTGACAATACAACATTATTAAAGCACAATATGACAACACAACATTATGAAAGCATGAATTACAAACAAGCATTATTAAATATGAAATATCAAAATACAAATAAGCACTTGAAAATAATTAATTTCCAAATAGATTGTGGTAAGTTTTTTCAATAGCTCTTTGCTTTTGTCATTGAGATGCTCTTTCTCAGATAACTTGATAAACATCTTCAGTTTTTTAGCTTCAGTCTTTTCTTTAATGAGTTTATTTTCCTCTTCTTGTTGCATGACTATTTTGTCCAACCGTTCTAACTCTTACTCTTTGAATTGTTTGAAATCATTCCATTCTTTCTCTTCCACTTCTAAGACTGCAATTTTACCTTTTTTTTTTAGTCTTTTTTTTAGCTGCATCCCACCCTATTGGACGAACACTAGATCCTACAGAGTTGGTGTCACCAGCACTACTCTCACGAGATCTCTTTGATCCACTGCTTTCAGAACCTGTATTTCCTCCTATCTAACTACGGTAACTTGGTTGATCACGGACATTAAGCCATTCCTGCATTAAATTGAAACTTCCTTTATTAGCACTTGAATTTAAATCATGTGCTTTCGCCAATACATCTTGCTCCGACCACCCGCTTTGTTGCAAACGTTTAGCACTATCGTAAGCGCCAACCCATTTAGCCAACTTTGGGTTCATATAGTTGTAATGGTTTTTACACGAAATTCCATCACGCGGAGGATCAAATGAGCAATGCTCATTACAATACTCTGCAATTTTACCCCAATAAGATTCACATTTTTTGTTTCTACTAACAATGCTGCCTGTTCCGAATTTAATCCACCCACTAAGTAGCACCAAATTTTGATCGGTTGTCCATTTTGGGCTTTTCCGGCGAGTGGAAGTTGACTGTGCTGCATTTGGAATGGCTTCACTATTACCGCTCATGCCACCAAGAGACACTTGTGTTGAAAATCAAGGAAATTCCGTTGATCCAACATTTGGAGTGTTTTCATTTTCTGTTGGAACAGAAGAATAAAATGGTGGTTGAGAAGAAAATGGCATCATTGAACCATAATATTGCTGATAGTTTGGAATAGCTGATGGCATAAAACAATTTGGTGTATAACCATAATTTGGTATATTTTGGGGTTGGTTTGAAGTTTGATTTTGAATTTGATGGTTGTGAGGATTTGTGTAATTGAAAGGGTAATTAGTAGAATTTTGATTGTTGAAATGATTATCGTTGGGATTCATTTCTTAAACAAAAAAAAAGCAAGAGTAAGCAATAAATTATTGATGGCTAATAGATTTTTTTTTAGTAAAAAATAACTTTTTTTTCTGTGTTCAAATGAAATGAGAAGAGTCTCTATTTATAGAGTATGAAAATGATGAATTTTGATATAAATCAAATAAATATAAAAAATTATTTGATATGAAATAATTGCGTTTCAATAATTAAGGTGAAAAAAATATCAAGAATCTCAATGACCAATAGAAATAAAGCACATATATCTATTCAAAAAGTTGCTTCACGCGGATTAATTGTGAGTGTATAACACACACCACTTAAAAATTGACATGTGTCAATGGTGGACCCAATTTTTTTGTGATTCAACTAGTTGAATTCTTTCAACTCTGTATAATCAACGTCCGTTTTTTTACTTATTCAACTAGCCCATTGCAAACATTAAACGGTTGAATAATTTATTCAACTTGTCCATTGCATATAGTCTAATGATAAGAAAATATAGACAAGAAATTATTCTTTATATATACACTTTATATATAATATTTTCTTGTCTATATATTCATAAATGTATATTCTCATCTCTCCATCATATATTTGATTATTGAACACCCACGAAGCAATAAGCATCACAAATATTTGTGTTATTATATGATCATATGATCAGTAGATAACAAATAGAGAACAAATAATCACACAATATTAGGGCCTAACTGGTGTTTGTATAATTGTGGAATTGTGCTAAATTGTGATGAATTGTTATGAGTCACGTTTGCTGAATTAGCAAAATGACAAAACTTGCTGAATTAGCGAAATGACAAAACTTGTATTAATAAATAAACAACTTTTAGTATTCTCTTTCTATCTAAATAAGAAATTGAACATTTCAATGTTCATAATTGGTATACAACAAAAAATGTTCACGGGTACATTTTAAGTTCAGCTATAAAAGACACATGACATTCTCCATTTGATAAATCATTAGCAAGAGAAGTTGGTTGTTATTCATAAAGGTAGAAGAGTAAGTTACATTCAAAAGCATTTTCCATAACTCGTAGTATCTATACAATAATTTTTCAGTTATATTTTTCAAAAACTAAATTATATTTTCATATTAATGTATAAAACATTTACAGTTAACTATATTCTTAAAATAAAATTATATAGTTAGTTTTTATAGATAGTACAAAGTTTTGCAGAATTTTGAAAACTATATCCTATTTTTTTCTTAGATAAAATTTGTGTAGATTTAATATGGTTATTTATTTACAGGAAATTTTATATAAAAAAATTATAGAATTAATAAAACTAACACCCGTCTCTTTTAAATATTAAAACGTTTTAATATATACCTTATAATGAGAAAAATACAAAAGATATATGCTTGTAAATTTTTTCTTACATAACATATATATATATATGTTATGTTTCAAAAAATTGATAACATGAGTTATTCTCAAATTATATAAAATCTTTAGAATATTAACCCAAATCCTCCATTTATTTATGAGTAAATTCTTTTATTTATAATAAAGTTTTAATGTCTTGCTTTTATATATATATTTTTTTTGATTTTATAAGGTTAGTTATATACATATACACAGCGGCAAATCTAGAACAAAATTTCATTGGGGGCAAAAACCAAAAAGAAAATTTTCATTCCAAAACCACATCAATTCTTACAAATGAACCCTACGCTCTTTCATAGACTGAAATCTTTTCACCACCATTTCATTTGTAACAGACTTTAACATGTCTTTTTCAATGTAGCATACTAAACAATCACTCATAAATTCATCTCCAATACTATTGCGTGTGGATGTCTTCACTAGTTTCATCGCAGAAAAACACCTTTTAACATTAGCAGTAGCAACTGGTAAAGTTAGAACCAACTTTAAAAGCCTATATACGAAAGGATGTGCAAGATGCTTCTGAGTTTCGACCATGAGACGAGAAAGATCTCCAAGATTCTTCAAATTCTTAAACCGTTCATCAGTTTCTACATTGTCAATGTAGATTCCAAGTTGATGCTCAATAGTTAAACGCTCCCCAAAACTAAAGTCATCTGGATAGAACTCAACAAGTTTCACCAGCTTCGTCTTGTCAAACTTATAGAACGAATTAGCAGGACTTAAACAAGCCATACAAATAAGCAGATCAGTGTTGACCTCAGTAAATCGATCATTAAACTCTTGAAGCTGATAATCCAAAACAGAGTAGAAACATCTGACTTTGCAATGATGTAGATTTGTAATACCTGATTTTTTCCTTGGCATCCTTGGATCCACAAAGTCTTCGTCCATCATGAGCGTATTAGTATTATGCTTTTCACAAAACGCATAAACTTTATCCATAAGAAAACTCCATCCCTCATCTCGGAGCTTTTGCAATTCACGCTTAGTAGAATGAACAAGTGACATGGCATTTGTAATGTCTTGATCTTTTCTTTGCAAAGCCATTGACAGAGTTCTCGGTTAGTCCCAGAATAAGTAACATTAGTTGCATATAGAAGACACAATCGAATGTGTGAAAATACTTGAGAAGACCATACGCTTGACGTCTTTTTGCGTCCTCGGTGCCTTCATTTTGAACATACTCAAGAATTGCAGCAATGTTTTATGATGTGAACCCCAACGAGTATTTGCAGGCCTCGGAAGAGAAATCTCTTGATTTTGTCCTGTTCCGGTGTTAATGTCACCGCTATCAATTCCTTCCTCCACTGTCTTTCGATTCAGATCTAGAAGCTTGTCTTTCCGCTTGCAGGAAGCTACAACAACATTCAACAGCACAGAAATCATATCGAAGAAATTACCAACCTCAAGATGCTTCTTCGCAACTGCCACGACAACCAACTGAAGTTGATGAGCAAAACAATGGACATAATATGCTGAATCATTTTCTTTGCCAACCAAAGTTTTCAATCCATTAAACTAACCACTCATATTGCTTGCTCCATCATAACCTTGCCCTCTAACCATACTTAGACTCAGCCCATACTTTGCAAATAAATCATCAATCGCAGATTTCAGAGATAAGGCAGACGTTTCTTTTACATGAGCAACTCCCATAAATCTTTCTTTAACTGATCCTCTCTTATCAACAAATCTGAAAACCACAGCCATTTGTTCTTTATTCAGCGGATTCATCGACCAACAAACCAAAGACACCATTATCCCCAATTTCATCTATGATAGATTTCACTACTTCTTCTGCAAAGCAATGTACAATCTCTTTTTGAATACCTGAACAAACCATCTGGTTATTTTTCGGTGTATTCTCCAAAGTTACCTTCCTTACAACATCATTTTGCTCTCATGTGTATTGCACGAGCTCTACAAAAAATTCCCTCTATTAGCAGAATCTTCTGTCTCATCATGGCCACGAAAAGCTAATCCTTGTTGTAATCTTCTGTACCTAGCAGCAACAACAGAAGTATTTAACCGAATGCCGGTACTCGTTTTTCACCACATTACCCTGCTTATACAAAGCATGCACAACAGACTGGCCTTGGCCTTGCTTCATCAAATCATCACATCTCTTAGCAGCAGTATTATGAAAGCTGTTGATCCCACCCACGTGTTCAAATAAAGTTTCAGGCTTATTCCAACAAGAAAAACCTTCACTCACAAAAGCATAATTTCCACCTTGTTTTGGTATGTCATCTCTGAATATGTAGCAACACAAGCAAAATGCCTTATTTTTCGATACGCTATACTCTAGCCAACTACCATATTTATCAAACCAAGCTGGGTTAAAACATGGACCTCTAGTTAAGTAGTTCCTTCTTACTTCATCTCTTTGATTTGGAGGATAATCCATTATTCTTTTTCTTTTAGCAGGATCCCACGGCCAATCATCCAAATTACTCTCATAATCTGAATCGGATTTTCTTTTGAAATATCGCTCCATTGATTTGTCTACAAAGCAATAAAGTATATTGAATTAATATAAAATCAAACCTGTATTGAGCATCCCAACGAATTAAACAACAAGAACTAACAAACAAAACAAAATCCATATAAAATTGCCAACAAGTTCAGTCCTGGTTCACGTGTTAATTTTGGCCAAAATATTTGATACACTATAAAATTGGCCAACAATACCATTTGGATATTCGTTCTAAACATGAACCCAAAGGGAAAATGCTTCTAATTTCTATAAATAAGTAAGGGAAAGAAAAAAAAAAAAAAAAAAAAACACGGAAGATGCAAGAGAGAAAACAAGGCAAACATCTAAATCAGAGCAAAAAGTTCAAATAATAAAGAAGAAACTTACATTACATGAATTGGAGAATTTGTGTTCGATGAAACTGAAAGAGAGAGCAAGAGAGGGTAAGCCGAAAAGATGTAGACGACACGAGTCGGGTTTTGATTTTGAGAAACCCCTAATTTTTAATTAAGAAATGAAATGCAAACTTTCTAAATAATTTGGGGGATTCGATTAACCCAAAATAAACAACGCATATAACTTCTTAAAAGAAGAATAGACCAATTGGGCTTTTGTCTATAACTTCCATAATCGGTGGCAAATCAAATGTATGGGCTGGTTACTCACATTTGTTTCCTTTTTTAAACAAGTGTATCAGAAAATTAAAGCAAGGGGGGGGGCATAAAATAATTTCACAACAGGGGCATACATAAAAATCCTTATAAAATACAACAAATTTTAATAATTCATAGTGGGCAACTGCCCCTCCCACTTCTTACCAACATATGGATTTGAATTTTCAAGAACAAACGAAAACTAATATTTTAAATTTATATTTTGTTTATTTATCAGAATTGAAAATGAGCGGTGCAGGAAATGCTGGTAGTGGACCGTCAAACCAAAACAATACGGTATAAATATAATTTGATTTAGTTTTCATATTTACTTACAAGGAATTAATTTAACAATTTCTGTTATTTATAATTGTAGACTTTTTCTAGATGGTTGCCAAGAATGAATTGCTTATTTATTGAATTACTAGATGAAGAACTACAAAAAATAAACTATGTCTCGACTTTACCATATAGAGATGGTAAAAATAATATAGTCAGGAAGTTCCGTGAACAGACAGGCTATACAATTGATTGGGAGAAGTGTAAACAAAAACATGACGATTTAAAAAAATTGTACACGGTGTATCAAAGACTTGTTGTTCGTACTGGTACAAACATTGAACGAGAAACCGGAAAAATAACCATGGATGAAAAATGGTGGGAAGATAGAAAAAAGGTATAATTATTAATTTTCCTATTTATTGTATTTAAATTAACTTAAATTTAAATCATTGTTTGAAAAATATTAAAAATTTTATTGAATGTAGGATACGGAAGGAGCATCAAGATTAAAAAAAAATCCTCTGCCATGCATAGACTTGATGCACAAAGTGTTTGGTCCTCATTGTGTTGTGAATGACTATATGGTTTCAGCAAGCCAAATAGATGAAATAGTTGAAAGCGATAATGATGAAGAAGAACAAGAGTCCGGAGAAGATGATGATGATAATAATGAAGAAGGCTTCACTTATGGTGTACCGGAATCGCAACCACAACAACCAATGGAAAATCACTCATCAGTGCCGATTGAGATACCTACACATAACCGACGATCTAGGCAACATGGTAACAGAGGTGGTAGAACTACTAATAGAGGACGAAACCAATCCAGCCGACAGACAACACAAATTCCACGAAGAAGAGCTGTTATGGACACACATCTAACAAATATTGAGTCATATCTTGCAACTATGCAAACTCCAATCCAGATGCTCAATGCACGTAGCCAAGCGAATGAAGATTATGAGCGTGAATCATGGTTGCAACTAAATGAATTACAAGGCATAGAAAAATTTACAGATTTTTGGTGGGCATCATCGGAGATTTTAAGAGACCCGTTCGAGCAAAAGAGGTTTGTGCTGCTAAAAAATAATGAAGAGAGAATTCGTTTTCTCGAAGGGGTGACAGGTTATGATCGAAGTGGCACTTTTCGGGGTAGTCCATGGAAACGTCAGCTTAGTGGTTCTAGCGGGCCAAGTAGTAGAGGATCATTTGGTAGTGGATCTGGTTCTCCTGGCGTAGGAGGGTTTTCACAATTCAATAATGCTGGAAATTTCAACATCGGAGGAACTTCAAATTTTGGTGGTGATGGTACTTCAAATTTGGGAGGGTTTTCACAATTTGTAAGTTCCGGTTCACCGAACCAATTCAGAAGAAGACAAGGATTTCAAGTTCCAAACTCTAACCCACAGTTTGATGAGTCCTCAAATCCAAGAGTTAGCTCTGATGAAGGTTTTGCATATAGACCTGCGTCTGCATCCGAGTTACTTGATCGTTTTAATTTGTCTGATTTCAATCGCACAATTGGAAACAATGATAATGATGGAGACAACTAGTTAAAATAGTCTTTTAATTTTAAAAATGTTTAATATGTATTAAATATAATTTTTTATTCAGCTGATACTAGTTTCTTGATGTTTTAAGTGTTAATTAATGAATTATTATTTATCTTCAGGTTTCTCGCATTATCGAGTTATATTCACGTGGATTACATAACCTCACGGACGATGAGCTACTTGAACTTATTTTTCTGGAGCACATGGATGTCATGGAAGCACTCTTCAGGCCTGTGATAGATTACTACAAAATGTATTATAATCGACAACCAATGGGAGCTGAATGGGGTTTAGGATGGAGCAACATAAAAACAAGAATTTATAACTATCCAAGAGATTGCTTACATCTTTTGAGGATGCGTATAGAGGTCTTTACACGTCTATGTGAGACATTGCACACAGATTTTGGAGTGAGAAACACAAAAAACATATCGGTAGAAGAAACAGTGGCAATGTTTCTTGTTATATGTGGTCATAACATGACACAACACTCGGTTGGGCTCTTATTTGGACGCGCACAAGAAACAGTTGGACGCAAATTTCAAGAATGTCTTAAAGCATGCAGAAAACTATCTGGTAGATTACTTAAGAAGCAGTCTCCTGAGCAGCTCCGACAAGTACCTCGAGGTTTACGAGATAATACTCAATATTGGCCTTATTTTAATGGTTTTATTGGAGCAATGGATGGCACTCATTGTACGGTTATGGTAGCTGGTGGCGAGGCAGCTCGATTTTATAACAGGCATTCACAAACAAGCATTAATGTTTTGGCGATATGCAACTATGATATGTTATTCACTTACATATTTGTAGGATGTCCTGGATCCGTACATGACGCTAGAGTTTTGTCTTATGCAATGGAGCGTGATTCAACTTTTCCAATTCCTCCGCCATCCAAGTATTATCTCGTAGATTCCGGTTACGCTAATACAAGAGGATATTTAGCTCCATTTAGAGGTCATAGGTATCATTTGCCACATTTTCAAGTTGGCTCCCCACCGAGAGGTGAAGAAGAGTTGTTTAATCGGTGGCATTCTTCACTCCGCTCAGTGATTGAACGAACATTTGGAGTTTGGAAGAAAAAATGGAGGATTTTATCAGAGTTTCCCAGATATGGGGTCGAAATTCAAAACAATATTATCATAAGCACAGCTGGATTGCATAACTTCATTCGTCTTTCTCAAATTCAAGATTTTGATTTTGATGATGCGTATATTGACGCAATACCACGAGAACAGTTTAATAGTAATGGAGAAGGTGAAGAAGGCGAAGAAGGTGGAGAAGGCGAAGAAGTAATTTTTTTGCAAGAACAAGAGGAAACAACAGATGGTGTCTATATGCAAACAATACGAGAAGGAATAAAACAACAAATATGGGATGCTTTTCATTAATGAATTGTTAATATTAAATATGTATATTTTAAATATGTTATTTGAATTTTAAATTATAAATTTTAATATGTTTTAAAATTATTTTAAATATTATTTAGTTATTTTATAAATATATTTTATTTATTTAATTGGTAATTATTATGTATTTGTTATAAATATATATATATATTAATTATGCATTCAGCAACATTCAGCTGTTATCATTCATATTACAAACTAATCAGCCAGATTCCGCATTCAACAACATTCAGCGGTTACCATTTAGACCTTAATCTCAGTTATTAGTTTTTTTATATTGGTAGTTAACGTTACACGCTGCTTCAACTGTTAACATTTATAACTGATAATGTTGAACGAATTCTACTGTCATTAACTTTTAAAAGGATATAAAATATGACGTGCCGTTACACCAAAATGACTAGGAGAAATTTTAAGAAATATATTTTATATAAAGAATAATTTCTAACGAGGATGCTATACAAAATATTGATCAGTCACATACCAAACAAGACTTTACTCTTTCACTTGTCAAGCAATCAACATACTTTACAACTATCCAATGATGATCCATCAAACACTTTCAATAACTCACTATCTAACGATCAATGTTACATCAGAAGATCTTTAAAATTTAAATATTTACACAAATTCAAACACTACTTCTCCAAGATCAATCCAACGTTTCCAGAACTTGTGCATAGTCCATCTTATTTTTCTCCCCACAAAGTTTCATTCGAAAGCGATGGCTTCACTTGCTTATGTTCTTGACCGGACATGCCTCCAACTTTCAACGTCCGGATTCGGAAATCGAACGTACCGAATCCGAAGGTTTAAGCGAAGGAACAATAATACACGCTTCACCGGTACCTATAAAGAGGTCAGAAAGGTAATTACCCAAATCTCCAGGGACAAATCTGACAATCTCCCCCCACGTCTCCACGTGGTACTTTCCAAAAAACGTCGTCGCAGCAATAGTTAGCTTCTTCGTCACGGAATCTTTCAAATCCTCTCTCAGATTCGAATCCGGCACGACCCACGTGCTCTGCTTCTGAAACGCTTCTTCAAACGCCTCGTTGAACCGCCTCAACCGCTCTTTCGCCGCGTCTTCCTCCATCACAATCTCCCCTTCGTCGGAGAGTGACGTCATCACTTCTCCCCATGCTATCTTCTCGTACTTCTCCAGGTACTGGCTCAGCTTCCCTTCGTGATTCGCGATCCACTCGTCTCCTAAAACGACTCTCAGATTCGAGGAACGAACCTTGGAGATCACGTAATGGAGATTGTTCGCCAAGAAGAGATACGAGAGCGCCACGTCGGTGTAAACCCTAGATTTCGTGTCGATCTTACAGAGCAAGACGAGGATTAGCCACGCGAATCTCGTGGTCACCGGAGAATCGGTTTCGCCTCCGTTGTTGTTGTTATGATCCTCGTCGTTGTGCCCGAAGTAATCTTCCGGCAACGGTAACGTCGATTCGGTTAGAACTCCGGCGAGCGGTTCGTGGTAATCGGCGAGGAAGACGACGAAATTCATGACGTATCTCGTCAGCTGATGAACACCGCCTCCGGGAATCGGCTGTTTCGAAGCTTCCTTCGTGATCGAGGCTTCGAACTCCGCCACCATCGAGTTGATCGCCTCGGCGAGGTTCTTCAACGAGTCGGCGGCTTGTAACCGGACGGCGGAGGTGGAATCGTAGCTGAAGATCTCTTCGATTTGGGGGAGAAGGTGAGAGATCGTCTGGTAAACGTCGATCGTGGAGAAGATCTTCTCCGCGGATTTTCGACATTTGGCGACGGAGACGGGGAAGACGAAGAGCGTCAAGGCGCTGTCTAAGGTGATCTCAGTGAAGCAAGACTCGGCGACGGAGACGCACGTGGAGAACACGTGGTCGCATAAGATTCTCTCTCCGTCGAAGAGATTAGAGATGAGTATCACCGTGGCTTCTAACCAGTTCTTGATGTTCTTCTCCATACTCTCCCAGTCGAGTTTCTGAACCTTGCCGAAACTAAGATTCTCGAATCCGAGTTTGTTTAAAGATTCCACGATGATGGATCCTCTTATCTTCTTGTAGATCTTCACGCATTCGTTTTCGTAGCCTGAAGATATCATACAGTCAGCGATCAGTTTCAGATCAGTCATGACATCCGCATCGTCCGATTTCGGAACGTTAGAAATTTTGTTCTGCCTCGAGATGAAGGATCTGGAGGATCTAACGGAGACGGTTTCGGGATCAAGATTCCGTCGGTTCGATTTCAAGATCCGGTAGAACTCTTTCTCCAGGTGTTTCATGGCGATGGTGATGAGGTTGTGCGCTCGAGAGAGCTTTGGAGACTCGGGATTCACTAGCTTCACTCCTTGGATTGCGTATTGCAAGCTGTTGATGAGTTCTACGAACCTTCTGCCTTCGACGCGGTTAGTGGTTGAGAAGATTGAGGAGAGAGAGCAAGAAGAAGTGGCTGGTGATGATGAGGAAGAAGAAGAAGGAGAGGGATCTGGTGAGATCCATTTTCTGGTGAGAGCTTCGGTTGCTTCAATACTATCCAATAGAAGAGACTCGGAGAAGCTTTGGTATGGACGTGGTTTTGTTCTTCTACCTAGAGTCGACGACGGTTTGAATAGGAGCATCATTTTGTTTTCTTGTTTTTTTTTGTCTTAGTTTTTTTGTGAATTGATGATGTTTGAGGTTTTGATTTTGTCTTAGAACGTGAAGAAGTGATGTTTAAGGTTTTGATTTTTGTTTTCTTTTTGGGGTTTTGGAGGTTCTATGGAAGTACAAGTTTTTTATTGACTATTTTATGTTTGAGGTGTTTGATTGAAATCCATTTTAGCTTGTGGTTATCCTACATTCTCTCTTTTTTTTTAGATAAGGTATTTTTGATTTTCTGTAGTATATAAGTCTTTAGGCAATTTCTTACTACTCAAATAGCCAAAAAAAGAAGAAGAAGAATAGATTACTGGATTTGGATCCCGTAATTTATTTAGGATTTTTTTTTTTTTTAAAGAACCTCAAGTATATGTAAAAGCATTGCCTAGTTAAAATGTAAAATGTAAATCTGAGATTACTGTACCATCTTGAAAGAAAGAAAGAATGGAAAAAGTAAAATATCAAATCTACATTTTGGGGACTAATGTCATTTTGATTGTTATAAAATTTATAATATCATTTTTAATTGCTTAACAAAATCCAGAAATGGATAATGCAGTAGCTCGTAATTCATAGAAAGCAATATTGTGAAACGTAATGCTGAAAGGTTGGTACATGACAATACAATAGAAAATAGAAAATATATTTATTAATTGTGTTTATAATGTCAACATAATCGTGTTTGAAATAGTTTTAAATTTTGTGATTACCTCCTAAACTCCATTAGTTGTTTGGTCCTATAGCTTTCTTGGTTTAAATACCCAAAAAAAACAGTGGTCCATGTCGAAAATAAAGAACCCCAAGTATTAATTTTTTTATAAAGTTGATTTCTTTCTACGATCCTCGACACTAAAAACCAAAATCCAAAATCTAGAAATTAACCAAACATTCATGGCCTTAATAATTAATTATATCTGCCTAAATGTTTCTTGAGAAAAACAAAGATATGACAGTACTTAAACAAAAAAAAACAAAGATATGACAGTATGACACTAAATATAGGCGGGAAACCATAAATTCCAAAATAATTACAGCATTATTACTTTACCAAACTGTCACGTGTGTCAAACATAAGAGTCAGAAGAGTGGATTGACGAAAAGGTCCCTGATCCACCAGACCCAAAATACAGATCCGAAAGATAGTTCCCAATATCTCCAGGGGCAAATCCGACATTCTTTCTTAACCCGACCCGGTACTTTTTATAAAACTCCGAGTAAGTCGGTATAATCACCATAGCAACCGAAACTTTGATCTCGTCTCTCAATTTCGGATCGGTTACAACCCAACCGGTTTGCCTCTTATACGCTTCCTCGAACCGGTCACTAAACCGACTGAGAAACTCCTCCGCTTCCTCCTCCGCCGTCGGAAGTGACGTCATCATCTCTCCCCAAACGATTTCCTCGAATTTGGCGACGTACTTCTTCACTTTCCCTTCGTGCTTTTCCAACCAATCGCTGCTTAGAATCTCCTTTAGACTCGACGTACGGACCTTGACCACGACGTAATTGAGATTGTTGATTAAGAAGAGGTAAGAGAGAGCTACGTCGCTGTAGAGACGAGATTTCGCGTCGATTTTGCAGAGCAGGAACAGGATCAGCCACGCGATTCGTTTCTCAAGCGGCGATGATGATGAATTAACGTCGCCGGAGCCGGAGGAGGAGTTTTCTTCCGGGAAATGTGATAGCGACGTTCTCGGGATGATTGTGGAGAGTGTGTCGCTGAAATCGGCGAGGAAGACGATGAAATTCATGACGTACCTAGTGAGCTGGTGGATTCCGCCGCCGGAGATTAGGGATTTCGAAGATTCTTTCGAAATCGACGACTCGAATTCGTCGAGCATCGAAATTACTCCGTCTCCGAGATCGGTTAGGGTAACGGCGATTTGTGATAGGACGGAGGAAGTCGAATCGTAGCTGAAAACTTTTTCGATCTCCGGTAACAGCTCGGTGATGGATTGGTAAACGTCGAGAGTGAGGAAGATTTTCTCGGGAGATTTCCGGCATTTCGCCATGTTTCCCGGGAAAGAGAACATCGCCAATGCGCTCTCTAGTGTGATTTCTGCAAAAGCAGATTCGCGACGAATCGCGGCGGAAGATGAGAAGACATGATCCGAGAGGATTCGTTCTCCGCTGAACAGAGTCGTCAAAGCTCTTCTCGCCGCTCTTAACCAATTCCTGATCTTCTTCTCCATAACCTCCCAATCCAGTTTCTGAATCTGCGAGAAGCTCAGATTCTCGAAACCGAGCCGATCCAAAGCTTCGACGATCATCGATTTCCTGATCTTTTTGTAAATCCTGAAGCACTCTTTGCCGTATCCAGACGTCGTCATGCAATCGGCGATCATCTTCAAATCCGCCATGGCGTCTTCATCAGAAACACTTTTGGTAGAGACTCGAGACCGAACGGAGACGGATTCTGGATCGAGATACCGGCGATTTGATTTCAGAATCCGGTAAAACTCTTTAGATAGATGATTCATGGAGATTTTCATCAGATTCTCAGCTCGGACTAGCTTCATCGATGATGGATTCACGGAGACTAGTGTAACCATTCCAGAGTGTAAACTGTTGACAGCTCCGATGAATCGTCTCGCTTCTTCTCTGTTTCCGGTGGAGAACAGAGAGGAGATGCAGCAGAAAGAAGAAGAGTCGAGAAGTTCCGGTGGAATCCATTGATGGATGATAGCTTCAGCGTCTTTGATATTGTCTTCCATTAGAGACTCAGAGAAGCTCTTGTGTGAATGTTTTAGCTTAGAAGAAGAAGAAGTGAAAGCGAAGAGGACCATTTTTTTTTGTGATTTTGAAGTGGAGATTCTGTTGAGAAATGATACACATGGAACAGTATTTATAGTGGTAAGTTCTACAGACTATTTGACTTGAGTTTTTAATTGGAATACAAAAACGTGTGATAATGACAAGTGTAAATGCTTTTTTACAATAGATTATAGATTCACCGTGTAGTCAATTAGTTAAGTGACGTGTACTCGTGTCAATGCAATGGACAAGATAGAAGAATTGGAGAAGATTATAGACTGTTTAAATAGTAGTATTATTATATGTTTGTAACCGGAGGTATTTCGGATTTGTGCATATTTTTATTTAGGTTTTAGACGAGATTTAGGACTCGGCCATCATCCAATTTATAAAATATTAAATCCTAGTCTCATAACAACAACGATACAGAAAAATGAAACAAATGAATTGGTGCGTAACCGTTCACTATATAAACTCGTTCTGAAAAGTTGTTGAGTACTCCAAATAGTGGGACACGTACTTTATCTATATTCATGGGTCACCAAATTTGGTTACTTGCTAGCAAATTAATGAAAATATTCCCATCCAACAATTGTTGGTGATAGGGTCAACAACAATTTTCAAATTTTAACGAGAAAATAGTTTTAAAAAAATAAATAAAACTGTAAGTCATGATATTTAATAATACATAGGCAATATATAGCCAGTATATAACATGCATCTTTATATTATTAATTGAGAAGTACATTCTAATGTTTGGATACAAGAATTAGAGAAACATCTATTTGGATAGAAGAATAAATGGAAACAAAAGTTGTTTGGATATAAGAATAAGAGAAAAATCTATTTGGATAGAAGAATAAATGGAAAAAATTGTTTGGATACAAGAATAATAACTTAAAATAAACCGATGGTTTAGAAAACTTCCGTTTTCCATCTCTTAAAAATCTGCAAAAAAAAAACTTAACATAATCTAACGATAATTCCAAATCAATAGAATATGCTTTTTGGATTTTCGGGTTTTTATAGACAAGTTCGGGTTTGGGTGAAAATCTGAGACATAATTTTATAGAGATATAGAAATTGTTCGGGTTTCTTTGAAAATTTCTGTTCGGGTTAGGTTCAATTTTTTTTTTCAGTTTAGGGTTTTCCGGATTTTTTAGATTTCTGGTTTTCGGGTTTAGATATATTAAAAAAATTGAGTATTTTAAAATTTTGATTAGGTATTGGGGTCGGGTTCCGGGTGAAAAAGTTTCCAGATTTTTTTTGTTCAGTCAGGGTTTTCGGGATTTTTTTGATTTCGGATTTTCATGTTTAGACCTATTAAAAAAGTTTGGGTTTTTAAATTTTTTGATTAGGGTTTTTTGTCGGGTTCGGATTTAGGGTTTAAATTTTCTACACAAAACAACAACGTCACACCGCACAAACGTGCGGGTACTCTACTAGTGTATAACATTTGATAAACTGTAGTACTCTTTTTTTTTTCTATTTTTCTTTTTTTTTTATAATTACGCTGTATAACATTAAACATCATTCCATTCTTTTTTTGTAAACGTACATGCATGTTTCCGTTTACACATGGGCTTAATTATGTTATAACATGGAGTACTTAAAATCAAATAAGGTATCAATTCTTGCGTAACTAGTTTTATTAAGAATAAATACTTATCTCTACAATATAAGTTGGGAACCCATATAAGTTTGACCATTTCCAAACTTTAATCAAATCTTCATTACATCAAATTTATACGTTCGATGGCTTAATTGTAAAGGAAGTTTGTGCGTTTCAACATTTGGAAAAGGATATGTAAGGAAAATGTATACATTCCCTAATATTTAATTACATGTAGCCGTTATTGTGGTCCGCCATCGACTCATTTCTCATGCAAACGAGGGGAAAGAGCCAATAAGATATTTGTTTAAAATAAAAATGAATTAAAAATAAATTAAGACCATTGTTTAGTTCTTTGGTCATTTTATTGTCGAAAACAATTATACATACGTTTCCTCCCAAGTCGTCCCAATTCATACTTAGTCACCTAAACCATTACACTAGCCGCGTCGATGACTCTGCTCCATTAATATGCAAAAAAATGATATCAATTTTCTCATTTAGAAAAAAAAAAATCTCAGCAACTTCAAAACTTTTTTGCTATTAATAAACAAATACTACTTGATGATACAATAATTTAGAGTCCTTAAACGTCGTTCGATGACTAGTTTTTGGTAAACTGGAGTAGTTTCTATTTGGAGCTGAAACTATACCACCCCTACGGACTAACAATGTAACGTAATATGGTTATTGAATTTTAACAAAAAAAAAAAAATGGTTATTGAAGTTTGATTAACATTTAAGTATACTTACAGCTGTTATATTTTTTAAAAAAATGCTTTACACACCGTGTTCATTAGTTAATACGCGTAATCGTATTTTTATGGTTACAATTTTACAAAATGTCAAAATGAAACATATATGAATCGACATCATTTGTCTCTTTCTTCATTTATATCCTCACATCTTAAATAATCCGCATTAACATTTTCTCCTCAACACAGAAAAGTGTTGGACTTTCAAAATCACATTTGTTATACCTTGTCCGAAAATGCTCTAGTTTACAGTTGGTATGAAAAAAATGAAATAAAAGTTAATTTCCGCGTTACCTTGTTTAGTGATATTGCCTAATTAAATAACTGAAGTTTTTTTTTTCTGAAATGGTTAAATCGTCTTTCATAGTGTCATTCACATTGACTCTTAAATAAACTGGCAGTTTTTTTGCTATTCTCATCAACACCAAAACTACACGAGGTACATTTGTCAAATCATGATGCTTTAAGTTAGATAAAACAAAAGTAAAACAGACAGAATATAAATGTCACATCTATAAACAAAATATTGTGAGACGCGTTATAATAAAGATGTTGGATGTATACGTTTCCCAAAACGTTAGTGACAATTGACAAAGGAGAATATAGAGCCAAGAGAAAAAGAGAAGATGAAGAATTAAAATGGTTCTAAGTTAAATATTTATAAGTTGTGATGGGAAAATTGGGATAGCATGAATGAGTTCGAGTTTAGTGGGTTTTGCCTTTCGATTGGGAAAGCGACTCTTCGTCGAGGCATCTTCGCTTTAATTCCTACTTTGTTAGTAAAGCTTTTCCATTAAAATACTAATTAAGGATTCAATGTGTAATTAACTAATCAAATAAACAACAAACGTCTTTGGTAGCTACTGTAGGACATATAAGGAAATCATTAATATGATATTGATCTCTTGTAATTATATTTAACCTAGTGTCTCCTCTGTAATCTCCTATATATACCTTATACATCATTTTATAATAATTCATTCAGTCATATTCCTTACATGGTATCAGAGCAGAGATACCTAAAGATCTAAAAATAATTTTTCTTTAGCCGCCACACCTTCTTCCAATCTCTCTTGCTCTCCTCCTTAAGCCCTTTATCATGTCGATTAACGACTCACCAACTGAATCCAATGAGACTATCGCTGTCTCAGCCTCCCATATGGTTCTTAACGTCAACATGACCAATGTTACTAAGCTCAACGCTTCCAACTTCCTCATGTGGAGTCTCCAAGTCCATGTTTTGCTTGATGGGTATGGTCTTGCTGGCTACCTTGATGGCTCCACCACCGCACCACCATCAACGGTTACCATTGCTGGAGTCACCACTCCAAACAATGACCACACGCTGTGGAAAAGACAAGATCGTCTGATTTACAGTGCCTTCTTGGTGCCATCACCATCAACCTTCACCCCCTCCTGTCCAAAACAGCGACTGCTGCTGAGATCAGGAGCACACTCACCTCCACCTATGCCAAACCCAGTCGTGACCACATTAAGCAATTGAGACAACAACTCAAGCAGTGGAGCAAAGGTACTAAATCTGTGAATGAATACTTTCAAGGATTTACTACCAGATTTGATCAGTTGGCTCTTCTTGGCAAGACCATTGATCATGAAGACCAGATTGAGTTCATCCTTGAAGGTCTTAATGACGACTACAAATCCGTCATTGATCAGATCGAAGGGCGTGACGCTCCACCATCTCTCACCGAGATCCATGAGAAACTTCTCAATCACGAAGCAAAGCTCCAAAGCAATGCCTCTGCTTCCTCCAACATCCCCATTACCGCCAATGCAGTAAACTACAAAGGCTCCAACCGCAATCAGAACAAGCAGCCTCACCGTGGTCACAACAACAACAACAACTGGCAACAACCCCCTCCACAGTTTGCTCCTCGCCAGGCGCAGTACACACCACGTCCGTACTTAGGACGTTGTCAATTCTGCGGCGTCACTGGCCATAGTGCACGCAGGTGTCCTCAGCTTCACCAGACGGTTGGTCCCTTCGCCTCTCCGCCTCCGATGTCTGCGCCGTGGCAACCTCGAGCACAACTAGCTGCTGTTCCGTACAATGCTAGCAACTGGGTGATGGACAGTGGTGCGACCCATCACCTAACCACCGATCTCAACAACCTTGCCCTGCATCAGCCGTACAATGGTGGCGAGGAAGTGACAATCGCAAATGGAACCGGTTTGAATATCTCTCACATTGGATCTTCTTCCCTTTCTACACCTACTCGTTCACTTATGCTGCATGATGTCCTATACGTACCTGATTTAAAGCGCAATCTTATATCAGTTTATCGTATGTACAATAATAACAAGGTTTCTGTGGAATTTTTTCCTACCTCGTTTCAGGTGAAGGACCTCAGAACGGGGGTCCGATTGCTCCAAGGCAAGACCAAGGATGAGTTGTACGAGTGGCCGGTCACCAATCCTATCTCCAATTTCGCCTCACCTACATCCAAAACAGACACCACATCATGGCATAATCGTCTTGGCCATCCATCTCTTTCAGTTTTACAAAAAGTTGTTTCTCAATTTTCATTACCTATTTCCAATTCTCTCAATAAAACGTTGCCTTGCTCAAATTGTCTTATCCACAAAACACATAAACTACCCTTTTCTACACAATAACTTCAAACCATCCTTTTGAGCTATTATATAACAATGTGTGGACATCTCCGATCACTTCAATCGATAACTATAAATACTATTTGGTTATTGTTGATCACTACACTCGCTATACATGGTTTTACCCACTCAAAAATAAATCCCAAACCCGTGAAACCTTCATTGCTTTCAAAGTTCTAGTCGAAAACCGATTTCAGGAAAAGATACGCACGTTATATTCGGACAATGGCGGAGAATTCATTGCTCTCCGTAGCTTTCTCTCCGACAATGGCATCTCCCATTTCACCAGCCCACCTCACACACCCGAACACAACGGGATAGCTGAACGGAAGCATAGACATGTCGTTGAAACTGGGCTTACTCTGCTTGGTCAATCATCCATGCCGACAAGCTACTGGTACTATGCTTTCTCCACTGCGGTGTATCTTATTAATCGATTTCCGAGTCCGACGATTGAGAATCACACACCCTACGAGAAGCTCTTTCAACAACCTCCAAATTACCTCAAGCTTCGAGTGTTTGGCTGTTTCTGCTTCTCCTGGTTGCGACCTTACACCAGTCACAAATTGGATGAACGGTCAAAGCCTTGTACTTTCATTGGCTACTCATTAACGCAAAGTGCGTATCTGTGCTTGGATCCAGCATCGGGGAGAGTCTATATGTCTCGCCATGTGCAATTCGTAGAAACCTCTTTTTCGTTCGCTCCGACACCAACACCTGCTGAAATCATTCCCGATTCACCTCCGCAACCTTCTCTCTTGCCCGTCCAATTCATACCCTCACCGCCACTCGTCACAACTCAGCCAATCGCGCCCTCGAGCTTAGGTCCTCACCACCAACAAACGCCTCCACCGTCGCCGCCGTCGAACCCTCGCACTACAGCCACGGCACCGTCATCGCCACAAGCAACTCCGTCGTCGCCTATCACGACTCCTCAATTCTCCGACAACGAATTGTCATCTCGCTCAGGTATGGGCCCCTCACACAATCCTTCCACCTCAAACCTAAGCCCACAAAATATTCCAAGCCCACAAAATCTAAACCAAAGCCCAAATGTCTCAACTTCCTCTTCGTCCAACTCTCACTCCTCAAACAACTCCATCTCCCCTTCACCACCACCGTCACCTGAAATTCCACCTCCATCACCGGAAAATCCCGATCCACCCTTAAATCTGCATTCTATGCAAACCCGAGCCAAAAACAACATCATTAAACCCAATCGGAAATTTTCCCTTGCCGCTTCCACAAGACCCACCATCCCAACCACCGTTAATCAAGCTATGAGAGATGAGAAATGGCGCAACGCGACCACGTCGGAATTCAATGCAATTGTGAAGAATGGTACTTTCAATTTGGTTCCCCCATCACCAAATCAGAATGTCATCCCTACTAAGTGGATTTATACCCTGAAGTATCTTGCAAATGGCTCTTTGGATCGACACAAGGCACGGCTGGTGGCATGAGGCTTCACTCAGCAATACGGACTCGATTACTCAGAGATCTTCAGTCCAGTTATCAAGTCAACTACAGTCCGTGCGGTGCTCGATCCTGCCGTGAGTAATTCTTGGCCGATAAGGCAACTTGATGTGAATAATGCGTTTCTGCAGGGTACTTTCACTGATGAAGTTTACGTCACGCAACCTCCCGGCTTTGTAGATCCAGATCGCCCTGACTATGTATGCAAGCTCAATAAGGCGCTTTACGGTCTCAAACAAGCTCCTCGCGCTTGGTATGAGGAACTCAAAGCCTCACTTATTGCTGCTGGCTTCCGTAACTCTGTCGCCGACACCTCTCTGTTCACCTATCACCACGGTATGGACGTCGTCTATATTCTAGTGTATGTCGATGACATAGTCGTTACGGGTAATAGTGATGCGATTGTAAACACCATGATCTCTGCCCTTGCTAACCGGTTCTCACTAAAAGATCATGGTCCATTGAGCTATTTCTTGGGCATCGAGGCTACACGAACAGCTGCAGGGTTGCATCTAATGCAGAGGAAGTATGTGATCGACCTCCTCACCAAGACCAAGATGTTGGATGCTACGCCTGTATCCACTCCAATGGCCACACACCCGAAGTTATCACTCAACTCTGGTATGGTCTTGCAAAATCCAAGTGAATATCGTATGGTTGTTGGCAGCTTGCAATATCTCGCTTTTACAAGACCAGATGTTGCGTTTGCGGTGAACAAACTCTCCCAATTCATGCATGCACCCACGGACGAGCATTGGAAAGCTGCAAAACGTGTGCTAAGATATCTTGCGGGAACTACATCTCATGGTATTTTTTTCCGAGCCAACTCTCCTCTCACCTTACATGCCTATTCGGATGCTGATTGGGCAGGAGATGTGGACGATTATGTGTCTACAAACGCATACATTGTGTATCTTGGTACTACACCGATCTCTTGGTCCAGCAAGAAACAACGGGGAGTGGCGCGATCGTCTACTGAGGCAGAGTATAGAGCTGTCGCAAATACTGCTGCTGAACTTCGATGGGTGTGTTCATTACTCAGTGAACTTGGCATTACACTGCCTTCACCACCTTCAATTTACTGTGACAATGTGGGTGCCACATATCTCAGTGCCAATCCCGTTTTCCACTCACGTATGAAGCACCTTGCGCTTGATTTCCACTTCGTCAGGGACAATGTGCAGTCCGGAGCTATGCGTGTCACTCATGTCTCCACAAAGGATCAGCTCGCTGATGCTCTGACAAAACCATTGTCCCGTGCACGTTTTCATGAGCTCTACAGCAAGATTGGAGTCTCCAAGGCCCCTCCATCTTGCGGGGGCGTGTAGGACATATAAGGAAACCATTGATATGATATTGATCTCTGTAATTATATTTAACCTAGTGTCTCCTCTGTAATCTCCTATATATACCTTGTACATCATTCTATAATAATTCATTCAGTCATATTCCTTACAGCTACTTTATGACTTTGTAGATATTAAACATGAGGGACTTATGAAATTGATAATCACTTACAATGTCACTCTCATAACTATTCTCAAGAGTAACGCTACAATATATTACATGTGAACAATAGTTAGTGACTTGTTAATTAGTGTTTTACTTTCGCTTTTACGTTCCAGGAATCTGCTTTATAGTGGTGGGTTTTATCAATTTTACTTCAATCTACTCTTTAGCTTTGTGGATTCCACTTGTAATTGAAAAAAACATCATATTTGAGAAAGTGTAGAAGCAGTAATTGAAAAAAACATCATATTTGAGAAACATCAAATTACAATCAGTCATTGTCGAGACTGTAATTGCCGGCTTACATGCATCTAATGGTTTTAATCTAACACGTTATTTCCCTAAATGGTTATTTATTTGAAAATGTTAAAGATCGATTACTTAGCTCAATTTTTCTGTCAAACTTTCATACTACAAGTCTACAAGCTTATAAAGTTTTTATCTAATGATCATTTTTTTTTGTTTATTGTTATGATATTTTTTGTCTTACAATGCGTTGATTCTAGATGTTCTGCCCTAAATCACACATCTTCATTTGATCAATCAAACAGCGACTAAACGGGTCAAGTAAATAATTTTGTTAAAAAAAGACAAGAAAAACTCATGGAATTTGATTTTCGATTTGATTCTTAGAAAAAAACTAAAATTAAACTTTCGTATCTGATTCAAATAACCATTACATGCAAATTTAGTTTTGGTTTACATGTTTTTCTCATCTGACAACGAAAATACTCTTTCAGTGCAAGTGAAAGCCCATTGGGTTGATATATTCAAAAGAAGGCTCATAAAGTGACCTATTAACTATTTGTTAATCATGACAAGTCCGTAAACTAACAAAATTTTGGATAGTTAGAATCAATTTAGAAATGCATGCATTATTTTTAATCTTTGGACCATTCGAGAAATTGAAACAATATCATTTCAATCAAAAAATCTATATGACGATATTTACTATTAAAAAATAAAAGATAGGAAGAAGAACTGATAAGAAATCTATAAACATTTTGGCAATCACATGTATTGATCACCTTATTCATCATCAGTGCAGCCATTTGATAAGCAATAATGTCTTGGTATATAGAAGAAACTTAATCGTAGTTACTATTCTCTCTGTCCCATATTATCAGCAGTTTAGCAAAATATAACTGCAAAAAAGTGGATATATCTAGACATTATTGCATCCAAATACTCCATTTTTTGTAGATACATTTTGCCAAACTGTTTAGCTTATAATATGGGACAGTATATTTTATAGTCACTAGTTATATTTTAATCATGAGATTAGTAGCTAGGTTCAAAGTTGGATACATGTTAGTGATAGCAATCATTCTAACAAAAGTTGAATCTCAGCTTTTTCAACGTTATATTTGACCCCACTTTGAGAGTTGAGACACTAGTACCTAGTGGGTATATACGATGCACAGTCCCTTTTCTAGTTTTCTTTCTTGTTTTTACATTAAATAATAACAGTAAATAATAATATACTCATTATGATTAATATTTCCGAATGCTTACTGTATCTGCATGTGTAGTAAACTTAATTTATATTGACAATAGTTTTGCAAAATTCTCGTGACAAAAAGATCAATGGACATGCATAGAGCATGAGATTTGCCGCTACGAAGGTTTCACGGCCAACACCTCCCTTTTACAAACACAGCCTCATAGTTTATGACCATGAACACCTCCCTTGCGCAGCTACAGAAACCAATTGTATTTTTTTTGTTTTTATCAAAATATTGACAATTTTTCTGTTTTTTAGACAAAAAAACAAACATTTTCAGTCAAACTAATGTCATTTAATTATATGCCACATTTCTCAATCCATTTTTTTTTTAAAAAACATAATCATATGCATACATATATATTATTTAGAAAATATCCCAGGAAAAGGCTGAAATCCATTGTAGGAAATAATTCCTAACCTTTTCTTATAATACATGTGGTTTCTATTGAACTTTTAGAAACAAATATATTATTTAATTATGAAAAAATATATATTCTTGTATGGTGTAATTAAGATATTTCTCCTTTTATTCACAGAATGTTCTTATTTAATCAGTTTCCACATAGTGTTTTATTATTATTATTTTGCCATAGTGTTTTATTTGATTATTCCTGATGACAAAATAGTATGAATGCAAAGCAATATGGTATAGAAAGAGGTTAAAGCAGTGTGGAATATCAAATTCTCTTTTTGAATATTATTAGTACATTACAAATCAAACAAACAAAAGTAAATTGGCAAATTAGAAGGTGCAGAATCCAGATCGATCCAAAGTATGCTTTCCACACACTCCTTCTTATGAGATGGGACCCATTTTATATTGATAATATCTCATTTGCCTCCAAAACAAAATTATGACAAATGATTCTGTAACCTCTTTAAAACCCCTATTAGTCGCTTAATCACACGACCACTCTTCTCTTAAAATCAACAAACAGAAAGTGTGAGTGGTATAGTGAGAGATAGAGATTAGAGAGAGAGAGAGAGAGAGAATGAGGATAAGCGATATTTTCTGCTCTTCTCCGGCTTCAACCGCCGTACGACCAACTACACTACGCCACCATGGAGAAGCCACCGAAGGCCGTAGATCCGTCGAAAGACACCGCCGGAGCCCAAACCCTAATAACATTAAGGACAAAAGCGTCCCATGCTTCGCTTCCGAAATGCCTTTTATCCCTATTCCTCGTCCGATCATGAGCTGCAGAAACTCTTTCGAGTCTTCAAGTGGGTTTCGCCGGAAGATCACTTCGGCTCACGTCGACGTACAGACTCGTCGGAAAAGCTCGGCTGACGTAAGCGGCCTAAGGAGATCGAGGAGTTCTATGCAAGGATCATCGTCGAGGTATCTTCTAAAGGATCATAAAGAAGATGATAAGGACCTTTGGTTATCTTCATCGGATCGTTCTAAGGATTTGATTCCTTTCCGTGACCGTAACGTCACTTCTTCTTCTTCCTCTTCCTCTTCTTCGTCGTCATCCTCTTCTTCTGTAACCAATGTTTCTTCACCGGCTCCATCCACTGATGACCAGGTTTGATTACTATTCTTTAACCAAAGTATCTATAAGCATTCTTATACGGCGTTAAACTCGAATGGTGACACTATATATATGTCTTTTGTTCCTAAAGTCTTTATGGTTTAAATTACACTTTATGATGTGATTTAATTTGTTCAGGTAAGATTTACATTTCTTGTGATATTTATCTTAAATATAGTGCATGTCAAGCTTGGTACCTAAAAATTTGCTTTCTGATATCTTTTTACCAAAAAAGAAACATTTGGTTCTCTTCATCAATTTATTGATATGGTACTTCATTCTATTTGTCTAATTTGATTTAGCAATAATCAACTGATGTATTTATTTGTTTCTTGCAGGTTGTGGTTTTGAGGGTGTCGATCCATTGCAAAGGATGTGAAGGGAAGGTGAGAAAGCATATCTCCAAAATGGAAGGTATACAAATAAAAAGAGTCTCTTCTCCATTCTACAAATTAAAATTAAAGTATCTTATTAAACCTAATCAGGACATTTATCTATACAATTCAAATGGAAATATTCAACGGATAGACGATTATATTTATAATAATATACCATAATTTCTTGATGATATATATTATAAATATAGATATTGGTTAGGAGCTTTGAAGCCTAGTGTTTAAACTTTTCCTGAACATCGGATGCCTCTGAGCAACAATCAAGAAAATTTGAACGAAGAAAATATGGATAAACAACTAATAATTGTTTACTAATTATCTTGATCAGGGGTGACGTCATACACCATTGACATAGCGACGAAGAAGGTGACGGTGGTCGGAAAAGTAACACCTTTGGGATTAGTAGAAAGCATCTCCAAAGTCAAATTCGCACAGCTTTGGCCTTCCTCTTCTTCTCCTTCATTTCCTCACATTCCTAATAATTCCCTCCTCAAATCATAGTTTTTTTTTGTAATAATTTAGCCTTAAAGTTGTTGTTCTTATGATCGTTCATGTTGTGATTTGTACCAATGTAATATTAAAGTGATATAGTTTAACATGATACATATATATGTTTGAATTGAAGCATGTGGTTTGGGTTTTGTTTTTTGAAAACTATCTACGCTTACAAATCGCCTAAACGAAACTTGTATATCTGTTATTATTTTCCGTAAAAGAGTATTTACGTGCTTGGTTTTTTTCTTCCTAATATCGGATCTCAGGACTATGTCATCTATATATAATCAAAAAGTTCTTTAAATTTTAAGCTTTCTTGGGATATATTTGATCGAGGCTATAACTTCTGAAAAGCTATTTACGTTCACACCTTCTATTTCGGTATTGAATGATTAACTTTTGATTTGACATATCTTTAACCAATTCTTTTTGGTTTTATTGTAAGCTTTTTTAGCGTAATTTTTTTTTTTAAAAAATGTTGTCTTGATTTGAGTTATGTGCACTGATTGATCCTAGGCAGCTAATGCAGTAATGCTGATTAATATACCAAATACGACCTACGCACCATGTAATGTTTATTTATAAACCGGCCATACGAAATTGTAGGATGTTTTCGTTTGGATTTATTACTTTCAACTTCTATTGCTTACTTGATATTATAGTACTATTTATAAAATTATAAAGATAATTGTATAGATACGTGCCTGCATATTTGTGGGGATCGGAGGAATTGAGGAAAAGGGTGAATAATGGGATGCGAAACATGAGGACCATTGAATGTCTGGCGTGCTACCGATATTATATAGTCTCATAAACAGTTAAAAGTAAAACATTTAAATACAAAATTATGATCAAAGTTATCTTTTTTGTTTTCTGTGGTGTGTCGTAGGGACATGTGCCTCTTTCAATCATATTCACGGTGGGTCGAATTTGGCTCTGATGTTCTCTAAGTAAAACGACACTATGAAATGAATGATAGTTTCCTTAGTGATACTTCAAGCGTGATTTTTTTGGGTCGATCAAAAGCCAAGTTTTGAGATACTTCTAGGGCATGGTTCGGTCACTTATGCAGTTATGCTCTATTAGTGAGTGTAATATAATAGCGAACGTATTAATGTGTTCTGATCAAACAAACAAAAATCTTGAGAAAATCTAAGTCCAATTTGCAACTTGAGCGATTTCAGAATGGTGCAAGAATAAAATACGAGTCCTTAATAGGAGGAGGAAGAAGCGAAATTCCAGGAGTACATCAACGAATATACATATCATTATACAAATGTATTAATCGAAGTTTGATTATTCAGTACTCACTCTGTTTCATTCTATAAGGGTTTAAGGTTTTTGCACAGAGATTAAAAAGTAATTTATTTTTTGTACTTTTATTAATTCCAAAACATTTATAAGATAATCTGAAAAATATAAATAATCAAAAGTAATAAAAGCACATTTAATTTTGTCTAGAAAGTCTAAAATCCTTTATATAATGAAACAAAAAAAAACTCCAAAACTCCCTATATATATAAAACAGAGGGAGTATTGTTTAAGTCTTTGTGTTGTGGAAATTGTGCATAACTTTAGACTAAAAAATCTCTTTTGGGCGGCCGGAAAGATTTAAAAGCCAAAAGTGAAGAAATATAAAATCTTATACGTTTTTCTAGAAATTTTGGTACGCTGAGTCGGCGGTTTTTTTCTTTCCAACAAATAGTCAAAACAAAATTCATGTTATCACCAAAATAAATAAATCACAATTGTCTCTAAGGATAATGGCTTGTAAACCAGAAGATAATTAAACTTAAAAAGCTATCCAAAATAAAGATTTTGCCCCCAAGTTCTTCGTACTTTCGTAGTAGAACTAACCCATCCTAGTTGCTTTAATGCATCAAAAAGGAAGAAAAGTGAGACAGGGAGTTAAATTATACTACAAAGTCGTAATAAATTAGGTAGACCTACACATATTGTTATTGTCAGCCTAAAATTACACTAATGATCACCCTATCTACGTAACTCGTTTGTGAATTTGTTGGTTGAATCAATATAATTTTGACTATGTCATTTCTCGTCCAAAATTATCATTGATAGTAGTAGATCGTATTATACTTGAAATCGATGAGTTGATGTCACAATTACAACTTTACAAAACAAAATACATTTATTTTTTCAAAATAGTCTAAATGTCATTAATTTGTTTTACACTGTATAAATTTTAGAGCATCTCCAACCCAGCCTCATATTTCACTTTTATTGCCATTTTGGAGTTAATTTTGCTCCAACCCAATCCTATTTTCAATTTCAAAATGGCAAAATGCCATATTTTTTCCTCAAATTGAGGTTGATCCATTTTCATTTCCATTTTGGAGTTGAAGTTTTTAAATTATATAACAGTCCTTAAGTTTTAAACTATTTCAGTTTATATATAAGTAATTATTTTGATATTTATTTTTACCCTAAAATACAAATAAGACATATTTAATAAGAAATTAAACTATTTAAGCTAATAATAAATTTAAAAAGAAAGGAAAATATTCATAATTAATTTAAATAATTATAATAAATTGTGAAAGTTTTGAAGAAAAAAAACTTAGGGGCAATTTGTAATATATATAAATATACAATGTAAATTTAGTAATTAATAAAAGGTTTTGAAGTAAAAAATGAGGCAATACATTGAGCAAAACCCAACTCCATTTTGAGATTTCTTCATTTTACAGTTTGCAGATAATCTGTGTTTTTCAAAAATAATTCAGACAAAATATGTTGAAATTTAGCTAATAATGTTATGAAATGGGACGATACACTAATAATTCAAACCCATATACACTTTTTATAAATTTACTTTTTCAGGACTGTTGAATGACACTTTTTATAGCTAATAATGTTATGAAAATAGTTTTGATTCTATAAAACTTCTTCCACCATGCAAAAATCTCATCATTATGTCAAATACTTCTTTCACGTTTTTTCCCACCAAGCAAATCTCCAATGACGGCAACTAATGATAGAACATCATTATTATGTCACTTTTATAACATGACTTGCTTTGCTTCATTTGAGTCATAACAAAGTGAATCCGTTTGACACTGTCTCCATCTATTATCATTTTTTTTTTCCATCTATTATCCATTGATCCAATGTTTGTTTTTATAGTCTAAAATGGCAATGCAATGTAAAGATAATAGTATACGTAATTAAAGATATAAATGACTAGCGATACCAAAAAGTGAAAGTGAAGTTTTATTTTGTATATTGTGAAAACTCCTTTATAAACAAAAGGAACATTTTATATTTAACATGTACACATAGCTACATGTCAACACAACACATTAGCATTCCCTCGCACAATGGAAGATGTTACATGTCAAAGCTATTGGGCTTAGTTGTATGCTTAAGGCCCATATTATGTTTATCGAGACATGATGTTTGTTTGGCAGAGTTCTTAGATGGTCAGATTATCCTTCTTCTAATTTAGATGTTTCTATGTGACCATCTCAGACTTGATTGCTTCAACAGCCTCCTCCAAACTTGTGGTGGATAACATATAAAAACCAAGTTTCCGCAAAGCGAACAGAAGGCATCACAGAGGTTTAGATTTGGTAAAGATCATATGGATGTGTTTTATGACTATAGCACCAAAAGCAACCTATAGTGTTAATAAACACAATATGTTTAGAGTTCAAATTGGCAATTCCCATTGTTACAATCAAAGTTCTCATGGCATAGATATTTTCGTTAATATATAAGAAGAGTCTGAGATTTCTTAAACCCATGAACTTGTTAAAATTTCAGAGTTCTTAGACCGTTATGAAAATTGTTATATGATATTTCGGAAGAGGAAATAGATTGTTAATAAAATAAAAATACTCGTTACTTCTTTAATACAATTGAATTAGTATTATTCAAATGTCTACTAGTTAAATTTAATTTTTGTAGTTGTTATTATCTTTTTTTTTTTTTAGTTAAATTTATGATAAATGTCACTATTATTCATAATGTTTTTTTAATAATATATACTGCAGTTTGTGCCGCATAAAACTTACCAATGATAATTTCTATTTATACAATGAACTTACCGCATGAATCTACCGTTTTATCCTGCAACTTACATCAGAATACAACTTGCTCATTGTATATACGTATTTAGCGTTCTTTTTTTTGTTGATAAAAATAGATATTTATATATATTTCGTATTCTCATTATATACTAAGCGAAGCTAACATTCATCAGCTATCACAAAGACGTTGTCCAAGTCGGTTATCTATGTAAAATATGTAGTATTTTCTTTTTTTTTTGTGTGCAAGAAATGTGTAGCAATTTAAGCTAACTAATTACCGAAAATAATCAGTGTTAAGGCAATCTACAATAAATGCCTGAAGGCAGGGCATGACTAGATAAGAGACTACATGTAAGTTTATTTTAATGTTAATTGTTGATTTCACACCAAAGCTGTTCAAAATCCATTTTGATGTTATGAAGTAGCTTCGTCGGTTTCAGCTGACATGCAAAAGCGTCGTCGAGATAATATTTCCTTGTACGGAAAGATTTCAAAGACGAAAGAAAGCAGTTACGCCATATGACTCCATTTTTTTCAGGATTTTTTTTTCTTTCCAGAAATCATTTTCTTTTTTCACTTTTTTATAATTATTGTTAGAGAACCCCATATGAGATATACCAATGTGGATGCTCGCAAGGAGTAAAAGTTTTTTCTTAGACACTTGCCAATGTTAGCAACTATATCCATATCACAACTTATTCAAGACACAAATTTAAACTGTTGACAGCTTGTGCCTATATCTACAATCTTATGAAAACTAAAAAGTTGATTAGCTTAAACAGTTTAGTAGACACATGAACATATAGTAAAATATATAACATCCTAAAACAAGCTAATATAAGAGAACATATATAAGCTTCATGTTTTCAACCAAACATAGACACATTAATTTAGCCAAAATATATCATTAAATTGCTAGCTTTTCTCTTTGGTGAATGCAGAATAATTTATATTTGATCCAAACAAATCAGTAATTTCAGAAAAAAAGAAAAAGAAGAAAAAAACAACAAAAATAAATACAAAGTGCAAACTCATGTTCTTCAATACTTAGAATTAGAAATGACAACACATCACATACTTTCCACACAAGCATTCACATTCCCAAACTCCAACAACAAAGGAAAAAAAAAAAAAAATACCAAAACACTTAGTAAGATAGATAAACGGTACATTGCAGAACAGTCTCAAGCCCATCAGTAAACTGATGCGGTTGCTGCTGCTGCGCCCCGCTTGATCCAGTAAACGTTTTCACAATCGCAAATCCTCTAGCGTTCACATATTTCCCTGTACCTCCCATAACTCCTAAATGTGATTCCGAAGCCGCGGTTCTATGAACTCCAAACAAGCTTATACTATCTTCATAACCACCACTCTCAAACATGGCAGTAAACGCCATCGTCTGGCTAGTTCCATCAACCGCACTCGCCACATAGTATCCCTGCGCTTTCCCTAGCAAACCAGACCCGAGCTCGTGCCCTTCGGTTAGCTCATCGTCGATCACCGTCATTGTCCCGAACATAAGCATCTGAAGAGCAGAACCGCTCGGAAGCTGACCGCCGTTCGCAACGGGAAGACCGTTTAACATGTTGTTGTTTCCGTTATTTCCGTTGTTCTGGAGAATGCTGGCCGTTGTTCCGCCGAGTCCGACTAGTAGAGGGACGTTGTTGTTGTTGACGATTCCGTTGTTGTTGTTGTTCGATGGAACTCCGTTGGTTATTGGAAGGTTTGCGCCGTTCGGTTTAGCGAATGGGAGTTGGCCGCTTAAAGCCGGGTTAGCCACAACTCCGGTTACGGCTCTGGCTGTGGGATTCGAACCACCGAGTATGTCGTGCATAAAGAATACCAATGTGTTGTCAGGACCAGCACCACCACCAAGAGATGAACGAACACCTGCACCGGCACCACCAGCAGCACTGGGACCACCACCACCACCAAGAGCTGAACCAACACCTGCACTACTACCACCACCACCACCACCACCAAGAGCTGAACCAGCACCTGCACCGGCACCACCACCACCACCACCACCACCACCGCCACCAAGAGCTGAACCAGCACCTACACCAGCACCACCACCACTACCACCAAGAGCTGAACCAATACCTGGACCACCAACCGGTAAAGGAACAGAACCTGCGGTTGGTAAAGGACCGGAACCACTTGATGATACTTGCCCTGTTCCTGAACCGAAACCGGTTCCTGTGGGACCTGAACCGGTTAATGGTATTGACCCTGTACCTGCACCCAAACCGGTCCCCGTGGAAGCTGAGCCAGACGCTGGTAAAGGACCTGAACCTGATCCAGTAGTTGAGGCAGAGCCTGAGGTGGTTGTGGCGGAGAATGTATCTTCTTCATCAAGAAGCCGAGCCGCAGCTGCAAAAGTAACAAAGAGAGCTATAATCAGTAAAGAGAGTAGCTTTTGACCTGCCATTGAGCAAGAAGGATAATTAGAGAAGTCAAGATTGTTGTTTGAGTTAAATGTTTTGTGATGATAGAAGCTGATTCTGACAAGAGTGTATATATAGACAGAGAGTAAGATTGTTAATACAAGAAGATGGAGTTGATGAAATGGAGCAGGTGATAACTTTTTTTTTTTTTTCGTATCTGGTGGTTTGGTTTTAGAGAAGAAACATATAAAAGAAACAAAAAAATATCAGATATAACTTCTCCACAAGATTTGAATATTAGTTTGTCAAATTGCTAAGCGATAACGTAAAATTACCCAAAGTTTGAAAACCATTTCCATTCTTTCTGCTAATATACATAACAGTTTTTTTTTACATGTGGATTTTCTTTTCACCTTTGACTGTCTTTTTCCGCAAGTAATTAAAGATATATTTTTTGATAAATCAGTAATTAAAGATTTAATACGAATAAATGACTAAAACCTTATCTGATCCGTTTTTACAGCAACAGTAATTTTTGATTTGACTAAACTACTTCTAACGATTAGCGAAAGAAAATTTGACTTACAAAAAATGGGATTTACTAAAATTGATTTTTTTTTATCCATCTTTACACGTTAAGGTACATATTGTTGATTTAAATATAATAGTAGTAAAATGGATACAAAGAAAATGATTTTAATTAAAACTTGAAAAATTATTGAATATAAAACGCAATCAAGATAAGATAATTTGTTTGTGTAATTATTTTCGTTCGTGCTAAAATATGTGCAAGTAAATGTTTAGTTATAACTCATTGATACTATTATTCTCTACGTTTTAATCGATCAAACAAGTGATTTAACAAATTTTCATCCTAAGCTATGATTAAATTTTCCTAACCACATCGAACTTCAATAACATAAACCAAGTAAAAGAAGTTTTTTTCTCCTTTCTTATTTATTTCGAAATGTGTAAAAAAGAGACAAAGCAGAAGTACTACTTCATAAAAACCAAAAGAAAATAAAAACCAAAAGACTGCTAAAATCCACCAAATCTTCTTCTGTCTTCTTCATCGTCTAGTTGGAAGGAGGGAAGAAAATGGCATCAGAAGTCCTCTTAGATCGGAAAGCCTTCTCCACCTCCGGACTCACCTTGAACGCGGCCTGCAAAACCTCCGGAGACAAAGCCTTCCACACCGATGTCCTCCCAGCCAAATGCGTGAAAATGGGGCTGCAAAAAACATTCAAAAAATTCTTAGTAAAACTCAAACAATATTTACTTAAATCAAACCCTAACAAACAAAATAAATAAAGAAAATCTTACTCAGGAGTAGTGACAATGGAGAACCAAGACAAGCCATCAGAATCAGCAATCTTGGAAACAACACAGAACCTAGGAACAATGAACATATAGCCAGCCTTGACATGAGTCTCAAGAACTCTCTTCCCATCAGCTCCAACGATCTGAACACGACCACTACCACCAACAATGTAAGTAACCTGAAGAGCAGAGTCACAAGAGAAACCAGGAGAACACATACAGTGTCCATCGATCCTCACAAGATCAGCTCCAAATCCAACTTCACCAACCAAAGGAAGATTCTTTGTGTTCAACACAACAACTCTTCCACCATTCTTGATGTCAACATCAAGAGGAGCCTCAAGGCAATTCAAAACAAACCCTTCTCTATCACCTTTCTTCGGTGAAGGCATCTTCAAACTCGCATCAATCTTCACGATTCCATTACCGGTCTGAGAACCGACGAGCTTCTTCACCGTGGCTTCATCAAGATCCCAAGCTCTGCCTACGAACTCGGTTGAGAAACCGGTGAAGATCCCGTTGGATCCGGTTAGGTAAAAGTCAGTAAACTGTCCTGCTTTGTGAGCCTTGTGAGTCTCACCGAGGAAGAGAATGACAAGCTCAGTATCTTCATTGTTGAACCACCATGTCACTACACCGAATGGTAAAGCTATGGAATCTCCTTTCTTGATTTCAATCACTTTCTCCTCTTTCTCAGGGAGAACAATTCCAGCTGTTCCAGCTCCTGAAAAACAAATTTGTTACAAAAATCCATTAAAATCCCAAATTATCACTCATCTATGATTATTTAGATGATCACAATATTATTTTATAATCACCAAATCATATCGTATTTTTCCAAGAATAAAAGTTGAAAAAAAAAAACATATTTTCCAAGAAATTAATAGTATACATTTGTGATTTTATCAGATTAGTATAACCTAATGCGTGGACAGAAACAAGCAGAACTAAGATGGCCAAGACAAATAAACATAACAAAAAAAACAAAAAAACAGATCATCGCAATAAAGTTATGAAATTTGGAGAAAACATCAAAAATATAGTGAGGTGATCAAAGTAAGGGAAGATCTATATACAATCAAGAAAAATAAACATGAAAAATCAAGATATACATACATCTATAGTTTTTTTTTTTTTTTGTTCAAAACATACATCTATAGTTATGTTCAATAAATACATTGTGAAACTGATCTAACCAGCTAAACTATAACAATTAAAATATTGGATAAAACAAGAAGAGTGAAGTGATCGATCAAAGAGAAGAATAAAAAAGCACGAACCTTGAAGAACATAAGCGACCTTGGGGGAATCAGAGTAACGAGGAAGGGCAAAGCCATACTTCTCAAGAGCGAGCTTAGAGGCTCCAATGTTGCCATCACGGAGCATAGGCAACTCTTCAGGGCACCATGCAAAGTACGAGCCACCGTCTCCTCCGTACACCTTCTTGGGCAGCTTGGGTGAAAGATCCAACTCCATTGTTAATAGCAAAGATTTTTACGGAGAGAAAATATTAATAGAGAAAAGATTGTGAATGTTTTGATGTGATAAGTGAACGAGAGAGAGCACGTATTTATAGTTGGCGGAGAGAAAGGATTTGTTATTTAATGAGAGATTTACGGGAAACAAAAATCTTTGACTTGGGGATAAATTGAACGGATAATACTGTGATTAATTTGGTAATATGAATTATCCATTAATTAATCTTTGACTCGGGGCTAAAATTCTGTTATCCGTATGGATAATTATGGATAATGTTCTAATTATATTTGATGCGTATTTTGTTTTCAACAGTTATCTATGTATAATTATATTTATATTATTAATAATTATTCAAAGAAGCCTGATCATTTTAAAACATATAAATTTTTAAAATGATCCGTCTTTAAAATAATTGTTTAAACAATCTTCAAATCGTAAAAAAAAATCTCAACAAATTTAGTGATATGAATAACTTTTATAGATTTTTAATTCTTAAACAGATAACTAAGGGCCAAACAAAACATTTATCCATGTAAATATTCGAACCGCAGTACAATATAACAAACCAGCATATTGTAGTTCAATCTTAAATAAATAAGCATTTGGGAATTCTTTGACCAATATTGATAAGATTTTAATACCCATTTTAGAACGGATAAGTATGAACTAAATTACTAAAATATCTATAATAGATAATGAATAGTAATAAATAATTAATTACACTAATATCCGTTGGATGATTTTAATGTAAGTCAAAGATTTTAAGCCCTTTAACAAAAAAAAATGTAAGTCAAAGATTTTTGTTTACCATAAATATTTCAGTTAATAAATTTCTATGATAGTAATAAAATAGTTCATGATACACGTAAGATGCTATCTTATTAAAAAAAGTTTGACCAGAATAAAACTAATGGAAAAATACCATAGTTAAGAGAAACGTACTGTATATGGTAGTGTGCATGTTATCCCTTATTATGAGTAAAAAGGTAACATCATCTGAGATCTTTGAAACAATGGAACTCAATATAATAAGAGCCTTCAAAATGAACTACACAATGTATAGTTTAATATTTACCGGTAATTTTTTTTTTTTTGCTTGTAATTTGCCGGTAATTTGTTTTCACTTGTCACAAGAACTGGCAAAAATGTAACCAACAAAAAAAAAACAAGCAACAAAGTAACAAATATGATTTCAACAGTTCAACTTTTTGCTTTTGCTTACCACAAATTTTATCCTATTTTGCAGTGAAAGGTGTTTTTTTTTTCAAGTGTGACCAACACACACACATACACACACCAAACAGCTAAGAATTATTACCAAAACAAAAAACAAAAATGTTAAACAAAACTAGAGTTTGTGGTCCAGTGGTAAAGGGATCACATCTGTGACTTCCGCTACCTGGGTTCAAGTCCTGATCACTGGTGAATTAACATGAGGTGATTACCGGCTCCCCGGGATCGGGTGGAACCACCCCTAAAGGCTGAGGCTACGGCCGATATAGCGACGGCCCCGCACTAGTCTGGACCCACCTTGGTGGAAGCCGGGACACCCGAGTTATAAAAAAAAAAATGTTAAACAAGGAAAAAGAAAAGCCCACTTATAGAATATGAAACTCAAATATTGTCACTACTCTATTGGAGTCCAGTCTAATTCTCCACAAGGCCCAGAACAATGTGGAAGATATACCACGAAATTTTTTTATTGGGGTCGTACTTTCTAGAAAGTAAAACTCTTTTAAAATCTTAATCCTATTTTCCCTGGAAAATAAAAGATGTGTTAATCATTTTGATAACATAAAGAAATTTTGTGCAATGACCAAAAGTTTCAAGGAACCAACATTTTGAAAAATTTGGACTTGTGTACAGTGATTTGAGACACACTAGTTGAAGTTGATGGCCGTCCATGGCAGATGCAGCTAAGGAAACAGAACATGTTTTGCGCCTAACTTGTACAAGAGCATGACCAAAAGCCACCACAAACACTGGTCACAATCCAACCCATAAAACAGTATTGTCTTTACCTGAACATTATTCCAAAAACGACCAAGTCCTCTGTTTTTGATTTGTCTCCCATTTTTATGGTCTTTCATCTTTATGCGCAACAACTATTAGAGTTAGGCACACCACTTATCTCTGCGTCAAAACATTGTTTTTTTATCGGTATTCTTTTTAAGGTTATTTTTTTCCTTCAATAAAAGTCGATGAAAATAACTCATGTTTCCATTATTTGCCTTTTAACATTTGTGTCCACATTTTGCAAATGTATCTTATGAAAGATTGGAAATATATTTATCAGACTGAAAAGCAAACACAAGCGAACATGATAGAATCAAGAATCGTCGACAAAATACAATCAGGAATCAAGAATTAGGACCATAGATGATAAATGTCTATATATATAAATACATCTAAAATTCATAATCCCAAATCGTTTGGACTCCAATTTACACACACATACTCTTAAACCCCAAGAAACCCATTTTATCTTTACAAACAATATAATCCAAGAAAACAAAGCAAGAAACAAATAAATGTAAGATCGAAAAGAACACTAATGAAATCTTTGTCTCTTATTAGCAACTTCAATTCCAGTAGCAATTCCGGGAACAGAGCAACCTCTGAAATTAAGAATTGACGTCTTCGTCGAACAACCTTTCAAGATATCGAAAGAGTTAGAAATCGGCGGGACTCTAAAGCTCTGTTGAAGCGGCGGAGGGTTGCGCCACCGTGGAAGAGGACCGGCGACAAGAAGTGTCTGAAGCAACGGTCCAGACTCCATGACACTTTTAAGAAGCTTCCCTTTCTCCGGTAAAGACTTCCCTTTTATGATCTCGTCCATCAAAGCTTCCACCGGATCAATCTTGATCGGTCTCTGCTGAGAATTCAAGATCCGGTTAACGGGCCTGTTCCCGAATTTGATTTTGTGAACCGGTTCCGGTACGATGTTGAAATTAGAGAATTCAGGAGACGAAACCGGTTCGAGGAACGAGTCGACCGGTGAAGAACCGTGTGAGTTTGACTCGGTGATGCTCGAGTTTGCTTTGATTGTGAGGAGTCTCTGTAATTGATCTTTAGCTTCGTCTCTTTCTTGACGAGCGAGTTTGAGAAGATGAAGAAGACTCTTCACTTCTTCTTGGTGAAGCTTTGATTCTTCATTAGCTTTTGATTTCACAGCTTCGAGCTCAAAGGAAGTGTATTGAAGCTTTTGTCTTAAATCATCCATACTCTGTAATAATATTAGCAAACAAAAATTATAAAAAATTTACAAGACTTTGTATTTTTGTTTCATGAAAAGAAAGAAGTAAAAAGTCAGAAATTAAATTATTAAAAAAATTGAACCGAATCATTGAAGAAATCAACATCTAGAAAAAGGGTATAGTGAAAAGATAAATTATAAAATACATTGGTTGTTTTCTATCGAATGATGTGCGATAACAACCTTGTGTTCATGGGGTCAAAAATTCACTCAAAACGTTACTAAATGTATACCAAACATATTAATACTATATTATAATCGTCAGGCGTAGAAAAATAATTAGATAAAAAGACAAAAGAAAAAAAAAGAAAATAGTCGTTATGAGTTAAAAGGAGCAGAAAAGTACAAGAAGTCACATTTTATGTAGGTGAAATGGATTGTTCTGACAGATTTTCATAGATCTTAGAGGTTTTCTAATGTCGGAGATATGACTCAAGTGAAATGTTGGAAAAAGCACAAGAAGATAAAATACACAGAAATAAATACGAAATTTTCACAAACCACCTTTAGAAAAACAATTCATAAACCAAGAAAAGTTATTGGGATTTAAAGTACACACTCACGCAATAATTCTTAAGGACTATAGAGTTCTTTTTTTTTTTTGTTAAAAGGCCTTCATAGGACTATAGAGTTCTTCCAAAGAAATGAACATAATCTTCATGCAAATGTTGATTTATTCGAAAATATTCAAGGAAAAACTAACCTCTTGGTAAAACCAAATAGAACTCAACTCTTCCATTTTATTTTTTTCTTGTCTTCTTCTTTGGTTTCTTAGAGAGACAGAGAGAGGAAATACAGAGAGAGAGAGGGAGTTGCAGGGGAAATGTTGGGGTTGTTCTTATAGAGTAGAAGAAGAAACCAGGGCGATAGAGGACAAGAGGGAGAGATGTCGTCCATGTCATGTCATACGAATAAAATGAAAACAAAAAATGAAAATAGAAGAATGATTAATTTTGTTTGACTCGAAAACTTGGTAAGATTCCATATTTGTCCTCTCTCTCTCCAAACAGCACTGAGCTTTCTTTCCTAAAACCTCTCCCACTTTAGGAGGGACATTGTCTCTTCCTTAAAATAATACGTTATTTCTTCTTTTTTACCATTTTTACCTACCATGCATACAATGGTATCATTTATTTATTTATATTAATGTTTATATATTTTCTTGTTAAAGGATATTAATGTTTATATATATATATATATATATTTTTTTCTGTTTTTATTTAATTCACTTGGTTTATCTTAGAAAACACTAGATTGCTTAGTCATAAACAAAACGAAAAAAAAAAAAAAAAACAGAAAATTTGAGGGACGTTCGTCTAAAGTCCAATAGATTCAATCACTTCTTGCTAAACTTCATGTCTTTCTACACGATTGACTGGTAATCTATTGTATTAACATCGATGCGGCATATGCACAAACCTAATTTTCTACTTTTGGATGAAACATGTGTGTTGTATAATGCATTCTAGGCTTTGTTCAGTATGGTGCAGTTTGAGTCTTTTATATTGTCTTTTTTTTTGTTAAAGATCTTCATGAGTCCCCTTTTATATTGTCTCTTGACCAACGACTTCAAAAACCAATGTATATTTTCCCAAAGAAAAGACACTTGTGACGTTATTTAGAAGAAAAAAAAAGCATCTTCCTAAACTCTGAAATCGTGAGTCAGCAACTTCCATAGTCATGAGTTCGAAATTAATACGTACTTTGTGTGTTTTTGTTTGAAATTAGTACTTTTTTCGCTTCATACGACTTTAAATTCCATTTCTATTAACTGTGAGCACTATGTATCAACGAGTAACACACCATAAGGAAACTGGAATGGAATTTCTAATGGCCGGTTTTGTACATTAACAATGATACGCTTAACTTACGCATTTTTAATGCCCATGCATTATTATTGCTAAAAGTTAACAAACATTGGTAAGAAAAGTATATGCGCTACACGCCGTTTCCTTTTTAATATATTGAATCATTTGTATTAAATCTAAATTAGTCGTAATAAGTATTTTTCATAAAAAGTATTTTACAAAGATGATTCCAGTCCAACCGTGAACAAGATCAAGAACTTTTTCACCGATTTAAAAAACCACAAAGACACGTAGCATTCCGTGAGTTTATTGACCCCTTCATTAATATTTCTTAAAGGTTTAACATATTACAAATTATCTGGTTAGAATTTTTATTTTTAACAATTTAAACATGTGTGTAGCTATGTATTTCCGATGTTTCCTTAAACTTTGGTGGATGTTTAAAAATGTGTTCGGGTGTACATAAGTTTCAGTGAAGATGTTTTACAAATTGTCAACCCTATCAAAAACAAGTCACATATATATGCATCAGAAGATTCATTGCATCAACTTCGCTATGTACATAAATCGAAAGAATAAGATCGTTAAGAAACATTCAGTTCTCTTAAAATAGTGTTAAAGCTAATAAAAAAAGCGAAAAACATACCATTATATTTTCAATAGTGAGAAGTTGAAGCCTATAGTATTAAACTACCAACTGTATGAAAAATAAAATATTAAATTGCTAGGTTATTTCACTATAACTATGTCATTTCAAGTAGTAAACTCTTGGAATCGGAGATATTTTAAGGTATTTAACTATTATATAACTACACAGTCTACACTACTAATAAAACAAAATGTTATATTCATAAACTAAAAAAATGTTAAGAGGGTTATTATGTATTCGTTTTGAACAAAAAAAAAGGGTTATGTATTCGCATTTTTTTTGTTAAAAATATGTATTCGCATTTGTATGTTAAAAGTTATGTAGATCCGTGGTTCAATAAAACAAAAAAAAAAGTTATCGAAATTAATACTATAAAAAGGCGGGTCCGCCGACCAGCGGAGGTTGCACGATGGCGACAATCATTGGCTCTACGTGAATCCAAAGATGGAACAAAACAAAACGATGGAGTATTCTTGTGAGAGGAACGTTATTTTTATATAGTACTCTATCATATTATAAGCTGTTTTAGCTTAAACACAAGAATTAAGAAAGTTGTTTTACTTATCATTTAAAATATAGATTAACTATAATTCAATCAATCATAAAAAACAACTACAAAATATAAGTGGTCACACATTTTTCCATAAAGTAAAAATGCATTGAAATGTTAAAATTGCTTAGGGACAAAAATTATAAGGTAAAACAGCTTATATTATGGGACAGAGAGAATATACAATTATGTGAATCTACTAGACGCTCCTAGATTTCCTTATGATCTGCCCAAAAAACTGAACTTAGTTCTTTAGTTGTATAACAACTTACAGAAATGAACGCCGCATGGGTTTCGTCATTCACATGAATTGTTCAACTCAAAAATATATTCGGCATAAGAAACCCTTAATTGATATAATGATATTTATCTGATATGTTACACTAGTATAGTGTTGCTAAAACTTTGGCTAGGTTTCTAGTTAGGAAACAAAAAGTCTTTTTTTTTCGTCAAGCCGATGTAATGACATATGGTATACGTAGAAATAAAGTGGGCATAGCATAATAGCAAACTAAACCCAACGGACAAAACAGCAAATCAAACCCAATGTGGTAATGTTTGCATACCTTTGTTGACTATCGGAAATAAAGTAATACTATGAGGTATGAGCTTTTTAATCTGACTTGAGTCGGCTGTTACATTGATAAGAATTTGTTTTTTCACAAATTTCGAGTTTTTATTTGTAGATTTGTTTATCAACAACTGATCCAAAACTATCTTAGATAAATCCACTATGGTCAAAACATGTTACGGAAATAATACTTTTTAGAATTAATCAAATTTAAACTAATATTGTCTGAACATCGTATCTGTTATAGGTAAAATACTTACTGTTATCTTCTTTCTTTTTTTATTAAAATAATCATTTTGTTTTTCTTCTTCTTCGAGTACTTACATGGGATGTATTATAAAATTATTATGTTTATACTCTTAGATTATTGATGTAAACATTTCTTTAGAAATTATACTTGTTCTTAAGTTTCTTTAGTAGATTAAAAAAAAAAGCTAGTCGGATAATATATTTAGTATATTAATACGTATAAAATGTTGGTAGAATTTTATTTGTTGTTGTTAAACTTATAACAATTTCTAATGGAAGAGACAAATGGAGAACGTGTGGGAGAAATGAGGAGCAAGAATAATGCCAGAGACAACCTTTGTTGTCCAGTTGCAGTGTATTCAGGAGTTTCACATTTAAATCAACATTTTCAAATATAATTTGTTGGAACATTCGTATTTATATACTGAGAATAGAAAACGTAAGGGATTCATTAACATTAGCTAAACGCGAACTAGTGATGAAAGAAAGTCCTTAGATATGCCTAATTTCATTATTGATGAACATGTCATTCTGTCACACTTCCAACTATTTCCGCGGCTAACCATTTTGTATGACTCAACCTTATTATTATTCTTTTGGTGTTAAAGATGAAGAACCTTTTTTTTTGTTAGAGTAATGATGGTTTTTCTTCTTTTGTCGGTAGCCGATGATCTTCTTTTTATTATCTTTACGTACGTAATCAATACACTATTTAAGTGAGGAAAATCAGCTAGTTTTGCAAGCAAATCCACAATTGTAAGATTAATAAGAATATGAGATAACCGGATCCTCATGGTCTGGTGGTAATGAAGCATCAGCTGAGGTATCTGCCATCACGAGTTCGAGTCCCCGGTCATCCGGACTGCCTTAAATGGTAAGAAAACGTAGACTGCCATAAACCTCGTGGGATTAGTCTTGGACCTAGAAAACCTTTGGATCACCCACGGTTATAAAAAAAAAAAAAATAAGAATACGAGATATACAATCTGGAAGAAATTTTTAATTGAGGAACAACTTTTATGGAAGAGTTTTTTAAAAATAAAATTATTGTTTACACGATCCTAGAACCCATCTTAACTCGCTTCCGAGTTCCGACCTGTTTTTCAACTCACTGTGTGATCTTAAGTCTTAACATCATCGATGCTAAGTGGGCAGTGGGCACCTAAACTTTCATTTCGTAGTATGTCTTCTTCTACCTAAGATAAATAAAATAACACATAAATTAACCAAACACTGTTTCATGATATAAGATTATTCTACAATGTCGCATGCTTGATTCGTCAACATGTATGTATATCACTGATATCAGAATTACCTTGATAAGAATATTTTTAGAATATGACAACATACTTAAACAAATAACATTTTTATTAAGGAAACCTTGAAATTAAGTTATCAAAGAAAACAAGAATCTGCCATAGTAAATCTTTGTTAGTAGAAATCTGTAACTAGTCTCGACTCTCGACCTTCGTAACTAAACTTTTAGCAGATAAAAACAAAAATGAAATGGTTGATATAAAAAGAAACAAAATTATGCATCATGTATGTATTATTCATACACGTGGCGTAGAGATGGTTTGTAAAAGACAAGCCACTAAATTTGATAAGCATGTGATCAAAGATAGGACCGGCGGATTATAAAAGGGATATTGTCTTGTCTTTCATTGGATTCAATGTATTGAGTTTCTTAATGCATTTATATATAATTTAGTGACAATTATTATTTAATCAACTTTGCTTAAACGCTCTGCTATCGCCCGTAAGACAAAACTGTTTTGGCCTTTTTCTCCAACGATAACATATCCTTCAGACGGCCTCAAATACTTAACTACATCTTATATATAATTAGGGAGTTGCTCTCTCCATTTGAGAGTGTCCACATCAGCACAAAAACATTAAATTGTATTTAAAATATTTAATAAATATATGACTATTCATATTTCTTTACATTTATTCATATTTAATAAAAATATACAAATAAATTGATTAATTAATAGAAAGTATGTGATAATTTGATGTTCAAAGTTATCAAAAAGTTGGAATATAAAATAGAGATGGAGTAAAGAAATATTCAACTTCAAATAGTATATATTTACTTTATTATTCAAAGGGTTTATCCTACTTAAAAATGTTAGAATGTGTTTACAAGTTAAAAAGTTGAATATAAATTAATTAAGACAATAGAAAGCTAATGAAACATTAGAGTTAGAGTTTGTTTTTCTAAACAAATAGAAATAGAGTTTTATATGTAAATTTAATTGTAGTGAAAAACAAGAATATGTTTACAAATTTTAACCTTCAGTCAAATGCATATACATATTTATAAATTTTAACCTTCAATCAAATACATATACATGTTTACCGTCTAATAGAAGTAAACATAATACTTATAACATGATAAAATTTTAGAAATAGAAAACTCAAGATAAAGCAGAGTGTTAATATCCTAATAAATTAAAATAAAAACAAATTATTCATATTTTTTTAGTGTTAGTGGTTTAGTTAACTCAAAACATAACAAAAACATGAAAGTTAACACAAAACCATCATATTTCAAATCCACGAGTATAAATAAAATTAAACAGAAAAACTATCGTAAACAACCCCGCGCTTGCGCGGGGCTTCAAACCTAGTAATTAAATACTTATGCAACTTCATTCCAATGTTTTGCAGGTAAAAGGTTTATTTGATCGCAGAATCGAGGCTGAAGAGAAAGATGATAGGATTTATTTATTTTGCATTGTTTTGTTGAATTTGTTTAAGTTGTTAAAATTATTTATTTAATTATGTTATTTGCTTCCGCTGAATATTGTTATTTTATTCTTATTTATTTAATTTATTTTAATTACCGTAGCTAGAATTGGTTTAGGATTTAATTATATAAAAAAAAGTCTTGGTTGTTTCAAAATACTACCATTACCTACTCTGGGCATTATTACTTCTATTACTGAAATCGAGCAACCTCCATCTCCTTCTGATGAAAACAGAGTTATCTCTCCTACTACTCAAGTTAATAATAATGACCAATCTATTACGGCTTAATTTCTCCTGGTTTGTTGGTGTCGCAAAAGAGAGAAGAAACCATATATACTATTGAAGGACTCATCTATCCGTGAAGCTACTAGTACCTTTCACAGCAAGTTCGATATTTCTTCTTCTAAAGAGCAGATCCATGCCAACCTTAATAACTCCCATAAGCGAATATTTAAAAATTACTTGTATTCGTAAAAAAGATATCAGTGTAACAATAAGGGTGAGTTGGTTTAATATTACTAAAACTTTTCATAATTTGAAAACTAACCATGGTTTATAAAACTTTGAAAACTAACTTTTTTAATAAGTGAAAAGACAATAAAATCATGATCATTTTCCTATTAATAATGAGAAAAATAAATCTGATTTAATTTAGATATATATTAAATTTAGATATATATAAAATATTTTTGAAAATTCGTTTAGATATTTTTTAATAAATATTTTAAAATACACATGTAATTTTGAAAATATATTCATATAAATATATACACATTTATGTCATTTTAGAATAAAGAAAAACTCACACTTCATTCTTAAAAAAAATGATAGAATGTGTTAAAGTTAACTCATATTTATATTTATGAGATGTTAAATTTCAAATAAGATCTTCTAAATATATAGTTTTTTTCTTATTGTAAATTTTATTCAAGATTTTATGGGAATATCCCACACTGAAGTTTTTTTTTTTTTTTTGTCAACAGCCTCTATTTCTACAACTCAGAAATCCAAGTTAGTAGAACAGAGTTTACATAATACACATTAGTAGGTAGAGCTCGAGCACTCCGTGCTAACTTGTCTGCCTTCGTGTTGTTGGTTCGTGAGATATGCGTGATGGAGAACGAAGTAAAGCGTCTTCTGCAAATGTCTATTTCTTCCAATAGTACCGCAAAAACTGGCCACTCCTCTGGTTTAGACACCATATGTACCACATCAGAGCAATCTGTTTCAAACACCATTACAAGCTTGTTGTGACGTAACATACATTGCATTGCCCATAACAGGGCCTCCACCTCTGTTTGTAGAGAAGAAACTCCCCTCCACAGATTACATGTTCCTAGTCCCGCTCGAGGGTCCGTTTCTTTCCAGGCTCCATCTACCTGACATCGATCACCCCTAAAACCTGAGTTCACCGTATCTGTCAAAGGCAGTCCTACCACGCCTTGGCGTGTCTGAGCTAGTGCCCATGCCGATGCCTCCGCTGCCGCATGATTGATGATCTCATATGGATCCCAATCCTCGTTAGAGAAAACCTTATCGTTACGGGCTTTCCATATGAACCAAATTAACCAAGGATACATCCTCATCCTATCATCGTCCGGTAAATTCCAGAATAGGTGTGCCATATTCGTGAAGAGACCTTCTGTTGGAAACCGGTTGATAGCTGTTGGGATTGGGGATAAGGCCCAAACCTGTAAGGCCGGAGGACATTCAAAAACCATATGGTTAATCGTTTCCGCCGCCATACCACAGCGCATACATTGTGGATCTGTCTGTATACCACGACTCCTTAACGTGCTCCCACCGATATACACCCCGTTAAGATTTGCCATAGAAATGTTGAAGTTTTTGGGTGCAAGGAATTTTCCATGCCTTGTGCCTGAAGACGACGTACGTCTGGACCAAACTGTATCATGTGTCAGCATCCATAGTTTCTTGGGCAATCGTATACCCTGATTTAACTGTGTATCGCCCTGTCTTCGTATAAACCATCCCCACGAGTCCGGTCTATCCAGTTGTGAGGTCGGGATCCCCATTATAAGAGATACATCCGTTCTGTCAAAAAGTTGATTTAATAGTGGAAGATTCCACGTTGATTTTCCGGGTGTCATAATATCCCGCACGCGAAGGTGTGGGTAAAAATGTATCCCGTTTCCCTTTGCTGACCTCGGGCGAGATGCTGGAATCCAAGGATCATTCCAAACTGAGATGGATGATCCCGAACCAACTCTTTTGATAAGCCCTTTGTTAACCAGAGGTCGAGCCGATACAATACTCTGCCATCCGTAGGAAGGAGAGTAGGATTTCACTGAAGCTTTTTTTTTCTCTTTTTTTGTGATATAAAATAAAAATAATTGTTTCTAATTATCTTTAGAATAACAGATTTTTTTTTTACAATTTAAATAATTTTCAAATAAGATAAACAAATTTTAAAACAATTTTAATATCTAAAAAACTGAGGATATTTTAGTAATTTTGAATATTAGAAAGATTAGTTTACCAACACTTTTAAAAAGGGGTTAGTTTTCAAAATATGATTAATTTATGTAATATTGGTCCAAATTTCCTCTAACAATAAATATAATTGTCCTATAGAAAAAATAATAAATCTAAACTAATAAATTAAACGTTTATTCTCATAATTTTTTATTTTTTCTCGCAAAATCATTAACCAGACTTTTAAATTCAATATTCCTAATTAGTTGTATTCCAATGAATAAGAATATAAGATATTCGTTGACAAAAAGAAAAAGAATATGAGATATTCAAATGACAAAACAATTGAAAAAAATAGAATTTTTACTTTAATTGTAACTAAATTGTTAGACAAAATGTTGAAAAAATTTATTACTAATGAAACTCTGTCTACGTAAATGAAAGTAAGGAAGAAAATTATATAGAGTAATTTTTTTACCTTAAATGTTTAACAATACAATTATTTATATGTTTTAGTTAATTACTTAGATGTTATATAATTTCATTCAACTAACGTTGACCCATGTTAATGTACTAAAAATATTTTAGTATTTCAGATTTTATACAATATAAGTATATAACTAATGAACTATATATATTAACTTTTTAAAAAAAAAATTGATGCCCTATAAAAACAGAAAATTTGCTGCTGTACGTAAGCAGATGCTTCAAAATTTGTAACGTAGGCACTGAACTGCTAAAGAGGTCTCAGCATCTATACAACTAGTAAGGAACAACTTTTGCGATCTACTCTTCAAGTTGGAAGTTCAAGATTTCTCACCTCCAATTTAAAGGAGAGTATGGAGATAAGAACATATTTAGATTTAGTTATATTTACAAGATATATTCTAACATATTTCTATGTGGGTTAGGATCTACATATTCATATAAATACTCTATGTAAACCAATTCATCACAACTTAATACAAATACACTTTCATAAGTTATATCATAACAAGAAAGAGTTTTACGAAAATTACATTAAGTTACATTACTTGCTTTATGACAATTAGTTGGTTTATGAATTGATGATTGGTAAACACGTAAAAACTATATACTGAACCAGATGAAATGGTAATAACCGAACGCTGGTTCAGTTTATAATTACGTCACTTAAAGTGCTAGTTAAAGGTAACAAAACAAAGTAAAAGTTGTTAAACAACAAACTGAACGATCACACTCTTCTTTCTAATCGGGATTAGTTTTCACTGTGGAGCTCATGTGTGCTTATTTGTAAAATAGTAAATTGTTGGATATTCTCTGGTCGAGTCGTCGAGATATAAGATCTTTTGCATCAAATGTTGCATGTATTATTCTTCTTCTTCCTCCTATTATATGTTCTTGTTTCTCTGTTATGTTTCTCTTGAGCCTTTTTGTTCATCAGTTTCTTCGAGACTTCGAGTCTCACGACTGAACTGACCATTGCCATCAAATTGAATTGCTTGTTGTGTTATGCGCAACAACATTACAATCCTTTAGAACAATAGCAATCACTAATATTCATTCACAATATCCCATTGGCCACCAAGTTGCAAGATATTTCTCCAAATAGTGCTTAACATCTTTAAACAGCATGGTCTTACCAAATTTAACGAGCATGTGAGGAACATAAATAATCTCAGGTGCGTTTTTCTCGAAATATTTTTCCTTAATCAATTCATACGGAAAAAAACTATCATTGTTGTGATTTAAACATGGTTGTTGCATTTAAATTACATCAATGTTTGTGATTGCGAGATAGAAAAGACGTGCGACTTGACACTAGCTAGTATGTTTTTCGTTCTAAATAGGTTTTTGTAAAATTAGTAAGAACATGATTTTCTTCCAAAAAAAAAAATCACTTTTCTCAAGTGCCTCTCAATTCAAGGCAGCTTGTGGCCCGAGATATTATTTCGAATAAATCACTTGAAATTTCTTTACAATAAAGTATAACGACCAGCAGATATTCAGTTTTGTCAAAAGTAAACAAAAACATTACAGTATAAAACCATTTTTATTTCTAGAAAAGTGAGTATAAAACAATAAACACCTTTAATCATTCCCGCACTCTTTTAATCGGTTAGAGTATAATGAACACCTTACAAGTAACAACGCACATGTATTTGTCGGTATGGTTTGTTTGGTCAGTCTTTTAGACTACCTAGGGATTTGTACTTGGAAATGATGAGTGCAAGTAAAAAGTTGAGGTAAAAACAATTAGAATAACAATCATTCGCACCGCACTATAATATATACATACACGCCCGCATATATATAATAAACATACATCCGTTTTACCTTTTTAGGACAAAATCATTGATGATGGTAAGTGAAAAACTTAGGATCCTATCTCTCTTAACACATTCGCAACTTTTTCGACATACAAAGCAAACCATTTTTCATGGTGTTTCTTATGATTTAGCATATAATTTTGCAAGAAGTTTTTCGTTAGTCCATTTTGGATAATGCATACATGCCAAAGTCCAAGTGTAGTGTTTGCACATTTTAGAATTGTATCCTCATGCACACACTTGTCAAATGACAGAGTAGCCCGTCCATTGTTATCACGATCATACCCCAAAAATATTACATCGCGTAATGATCTTTGCTGAAATGGATTTGCATAGTCTTACATTTTGTGACCAAAATTAAGTGCACTCATTGATTTATGGTACTTTCTGTGGAGTATTATATTAATTTTCCTCACTTTTTAAAGCACTTCAAAGATAATGAGAATGTATACCTCTAGGCTTAAAGAACAGTGAATGATAATCATATGCAAATATGAGGTTCGTCCTTTATGGAGATATTAAAACAAAAAGCGTTCAAGTGTTTGATGATTAGTGTTTTTAAAAGCATCCATACATATATTACTGATTATAAGGGAAGTATAAGAGAGAAACTAAGCTGATATAAAGTTTATAAGCTCATGAATAAATTAGTTGAATAGTGATAAATTGACACTTAAGTATGGTAACCACAAGCGAAAAGACAGAAAAAAACAATCAAGTGTTTACGTTAACCCAACTATAATATTATTATTTTTCTATGTTAAACCGGCTCCAAAAACCTAATTGGATAAATGATGATCCCAGTATAGAATATAGGTTCTTATCAGATTGTATCACAGCATTTTGATTTTCGGACATTCAGGACGTCAAGCTACCTAATAGAGAGACACAAGAGAGAAGCTACCTTATCAGATACTATAAGTGTTGCTATGAAATAATTATGAAGAATCACAGTAAATTACGTATTAAATCCATAAGCCAATAATTTATTTGGAAGACCTCCTATGAGCTGAAGTACTGAACAAAGGGGGTAAAAACAGAAAGAAGTTTCTAAAATTGTTTTGTAGTGGCCTAGTGGGAATGTAAAATCGCCTGGTGACCAAAAGTGATATTATTATTGGCATTGGTTGCCATAATAACGAACTAAAAGTGAACAAAATTGGGCAAAGGTCATATGTTGTAATGATGTTAGTAAGTGATATTTCAGTTATGTTCATCATTGGTAAGGGTTAGGAGGTTAAAAGACCAAACATATTTCAAAAGATTCGGAAAAGGAATTGCTTTTTTATGGAAAAAGGGGCTTCTATGATTTTGTTTTTCAAGTTAGTTATGACTTATGAGACAATCTGACTTTTTCATCTTTTTAGATATTGTGAAATTATTTCCTTTTTTCACATAATTGAATTCACACATAGGAATGTTTTATTTAATTTTTGGTTTTGGAATTTTCTTGGTTTGAATATTGTTCGGTTCTATCCTTTTATAGTTTATGTACTTCTTGATTCGACTTTCAGTGTTTTTCCCTGTCCAATTAAAGGGGAAAAAAAAGTAATCAAATCATCTGAATCACAACCAGTGGCGAATGTAGAATTTTTTTTCACCGGTGTCAGTAAACAAATCAAACATAAAAATAATTTTATTATGGTGTCATATGGAGTTTCGAACTCTTTCTTAGGGGGTCATAAGGAGGAATTTTCAATGCAATCTTACAAAACCAGTGATATTTTAACCCAAAAAAGTTTGTTTACAAATTGTTACGGTGTCACATGACACCGTATCCGTGTTAGTAGATTCGCCACTGATCACAATGTAATTTGATTTTTATATAAACTATAGGCGTATACAATTGGGTTTTCAGTATATGATTTTGATTAGTATTCATTTTTTTTTTACTTTATGTGTATACTATATACCATAGTGAGACCAAATGAACAAAACTATTTAAGAATCCACAATTTTTCTAAAGTCAGTAAATCTGATTAACATCTTGTTAGGCTTTTGGTGGGTGTGACTTGGCCCAAATCTTATAGGGCTTGGCACAATAGGATTCTTTCTTATCGAAACGTGAGAATTGAACTTATTTGTTTTCTCGACGATCCTTTTCAAGAAAGAGTCCTCGGTGGTCCATTTCTTAAAGCACGATTCTGGAGCTAACGTCAAAGGTAAAACTATGTATAGTATCAGCTCTCTCTTTTCTATGTGAAACTGTATAAATCAAAATTGAAAATGTAATTGGTGTTTCAATTTGATAGGTATTCTTCTTTAAACCGAACCAAACTTGAAAATTGAAG